GGTGAGACGACTCTTTGACGCACAACAGGTATGAAGGATTTTTACATGAAACACTTGTTTTAACAGATCATTCTTATTGTTATTATGTATAGCTTGTTTCTAGATTTAAAGTCAAACTACCATTCTTTCTTTTTTCATACATTTCCTGATTGGCCAACATGGCTTTATGGTTATATTGCCGCTTTGAAGTGGACAGAGATTTATTTTAAAAAGAGAAGAGGAAAACAGTGGTTTTAATAAATACCTGCATGCACGTTGACACAGCCTGAACAAAAACCACCGTAAAGTGGTTTAAGAGATATTTTAGATTTAATTGCTCTCACATGTTTCAGAGTTGAGAATTTGTTCTGTTTTCCAGGATGATTGACGCAGAGGACAGACTCCTCTTGAGAGCTCAGCTCAGTGACTTCAGTCTGTTCTTCCTCCTTCTCCTAACACACTCTTGTGGAGGTAAATGGTAAAAGCTGTTGTTATTGTGTGGAGGTAAAAGATCGTGATGAGAGTTTAGATATGATGCCGTTACAAAATCTGAGTGTAACTGTCATGTTAGGGCAGATTATTACACAGTCTGACTTTTTAATTAATTTAACAACCCATGTTTCCGCCAGTTTTGGCGTGAGTTTTTAAGTAATGTTGAAATTGGTTACATTGGCTAATCCATTCATCATTGATTGAATAGTGGTGCTAGCTTGTTGCTAGGTATGCAGATATTGGTCCATAATTTTATCACATAAAGCGATCTCACCAGGAGACATGTTTGGCGTCTTTCTAGTGACACGGACTTCAGAGAAAAGTAAAGGTCAGGATGTTCAATGTGCCCTTATCTTGCAATTTCTGCCTTTGGCCACAGGGTGTCACTGTTCAGCAAAAAGTTGCGTTGTTGTGAACTGTGGTCTCAGTTTATCATAGTGATATTAATCAATCAAGGCTGACTTGTGTAAAAGTGTACTTATATTGAACCCACAACTTTAGACACAGGTATGTGTGGGAGATAAAAATAAGAACAGTCCTCTTTTTCCTCGTAGGTCAGTCTGGTCCACCTCAGCCAATCGTGGCAATGGTTGGTGACGACATCATTTTACCATGTCACCTGGAACCTACTGCAGATGCTGTTGACCAGACTGTGGAGTGGACAAGACCTGACCTAAACCCTAGATTTGTCCATCTGAGGCGAGACAGAGTGGATCTTCTAGATGAGCAGCATCCATCGTACAAGGGGAGAACATCACTGTCCACCAACAAACTGAAGTGTGGAGACCTTTCACTGAAACTCTCCACAGTAAAACTCTCTGATGCAGGAACATACAAATGCCTCATTCCCAAATCTGCTACTGAGTCAGTGGTTGAGCTTGTTGTAGGTGAGTTGGTATTCAGGAAAACATTCATCCAGAAAAAGGTTTTAATGCACAAGAGACACTACGAGAGTCTGGACTACCTGAGATGTGAAAGAAAGGACATAGAGTTACTTTGCTCCACCCTAACCACAATGTGCACCTGGGTAAGAAGCTCAAATAGTGACTCAATAGTGACATATAGTAAAGTAAGAGGACTTTGGAACATCTGATTACATTACATGTGTTTGATGGTACCAATAAATTAATGAGGGCTGACCATAGATAGATGGTGTTTTACAGCCTTAGACACTGAGCTGGCGCACCTGCTGGATCAGGAGCTTCTGATGCCAGCAGAGGTTTACACAGACTCTCCGATTCACAAGGTTAGGGTGACATGTATTTATAGTATTTATATTTCCCTAAGATCAAAACAGAGTGACCCAGATGTGCACCAGAAGCGTACAAAGGTGGGCATTTCCACCAACCACATGGCCGTTTGTGCCAAATCCAAAGAGGATCTTGGGGTGATCAGACAAACACTTGTTTTGACCATTTGAATGATCAAGGTTACAGTGATTTTCATTCTTGTGGTAACTTTACATCCAAACTGTTTTTGATATTTCTTCTCTCTATTAGGTTCTGTCTCCTCGCCCAACATTGAGATTTCCAGAGTCAGCAACGGAGTGGTGTTAAACTGTAAATCTAAAGGCTGGTATCCAGACCCTGAGCTGTTGTGGCTGGACGGTGAGGGAAAGCTGCTCTCTGCTGGACCTACAGAGACAGTCAGAGGTCCTGATGACCTCTATACTGTCAGCAGCAGAGTGACTGTGGAGAAGAGACACAGCAACAACTTCACCTGTAGAGTCCAACAGAAGATCATCAGCCAGACCAGAGAAACACAGATTCATGTTTCAGGTACAAAAATGGTTCACAACGATGATGCTCCCACTGTCAGTTTCAGACACATGGAAATGTCATTTTTGTTCTTTGTTTTATTCCAGATTGTTTCTCCATGACTCCATCTAGTTCTTCAGTTCGCATCACCATCAGCCTGGTTGCTTGCTTCATGTGTTTTCTGACAGTTGCCCTTGTTGCGTGGAAAAACAACAGTAAGTCGCAAATTCATTGTTAGTAACCCTGTTACTTTGATGGTTATTGTGATGTGATATTATGAACCTAAAGCTCACTATTAATAATAACAAATATGTGGAGTTGATTGCTACTATCAGGTTGGGGGTTAGTTACTGCCCCAAATTCGAGTATCTCTGGGTGTTGTTCAGTAGTGAGAGTAAGATGGAGCAGGGGATTGACGGGCAGATTGGTGCAGCTTCAGCAGTAAATCTGACATTGTAGTTTGCAGATACAAGCGACTGAAATGAGTTTCTTGTGGAGAATGCTCGGAGTAAAGCTGGCGCTCTTTTACGTTGAAAGGAGCTAGTTGAGTGGCTGGATGGACAATATATTTCTTTTTGCAGTATCTTAATTGTAACATATTTATGTTGTGATTTAATGAAATAGTTTGTTTTATTATCTCTTCCCACCAAAAGCCAACACCACATGAGCACAACAGATGTGAGCTTCATCTAAACACACTTTTATTCTCCTGTGTTCACACAGAAACAAAGATGCAGGAAGAAAGTAAGATGAGCAACAACACAGAACTTCAGCTTCTGATGGAGGAACAAAGAGCCAGAGAGCATCTCATGACAGAACATGAGAAAATGAAGTATAGGGACATGGCAAAGGCAAGACTTGATGAGGAGCTTCAGAGGAGTGAGGAAGAACTGCAACATGTGAAAGTGGTGATTTCAACACTGACAGGACAGAAGACAGATCTGAGGAAGCAGAGAGAGAAAGTCACCTCACTACTGCCGGAGGTGAGGAAATGGATAGAGAAGGAAGGGAAGAAACAGAAATCTTCATTAGTCAAAGACAAAAAAAAGAAAGAGCGTCACAATAAAATAGCGGACCTACAGAGGACAAAGACAGAATATGAAGAACTGTTAAAGAACACAAACAAACTACTGGAGGCAACAGATGAAATGATTATGAAAATGACAGAAAAGAAGGGAAAACTAGAGATGGACAAAGTACAAATAATTAAACACCTGAAAGAGACAGAGAAAAAGAGAGACGAGGTTCAGAAGAAACTTCAGTCAGAGACAAAAGAGAAAACAAATGATCCATAAATCAATGATCTTTAGTCAAAATCACAAAATGTGGTTTATTCAGTTCAGATCCCCAGTTTCATCAGTTGATCAATCTCTCTTAATTATTCCAAACTAGCTCTGTGACCTTTGTTTGACCTCAGTGTATATTCACCTAACACCCTCCAGGTCATGTGACTTTAGAAACACAAACATATGAGGAAAGGAGAATAAACTGAGTGGGTCGCTCCACTAATCCAGTTCTTCAGAGTCACTTCAGCAACACAAGTGTTCATGTACATTTTTTCAGATTGTTGGTGGTATATGATCTGCTGTAAATTCATGTTTCTTTAAAATGAGTTTAAAATAAATTTTACTCAGATTTTATTCTTTGCCCTGATTTATTGATTCGTCCAGTTTGTGTCAGATCAGAGTAAACGGCGCCCTCTGGTGGTGAGATCAGCTCAAAGCTCAAAAAGGGAGAAAGCTGCTGATCTGCAGCAAAATCAACAGATCACCAGAGTTTCCTCCCAACAGAAGTTAAATCAAGTCAAATCATAAACAAAATGGTGCAAATTAGACTTTATGCATCATTTTCAACAAGTCCAAAATTAATGGAAAATATAATGCCACATACAAATATATGGCATTATATTCTGGAAAGAGCGAGAGAGAGCGGCTTCTGGCAGAGAGGAGGAAAAGACAAAACTTGACCAAGAGTTAAAGAAGTTAGAGGAAGAGCAGAGACTTTTTTGTGCACTGTAATACTGTCACTGTTTAACTTGAATTTGTGCTGTTTTATCCACCACCTTTTTTCCGGTCATTGTGATTGATAACTCTAAATCCATAAAGCTCCAATACAGCAGAACAAAATGATGCCGGTGGATCCTCTTACTGTACTTTGTCTTTATCTTGATCAGCGAACCAAACAAATCTGATTTTTTTACTTGAACTGCTCCACCCTTGTGTATATCCATGTTTTATAAAAAAAAATTCTGGCATTATATGTTATTTTTTTATATATATATTTGTATTTCTTAGACATTAGGTTATAGCTGTTGTTTACTTAAAATGCATGTCTTTTTTGTGTGTGATGGTCTGATATTTGTCTTTATTTCATGTGTTTAGTGTCACAAAGATTCATGATCAATGTCCAGAATCAGACCTAAATAAACTAACAAATAAAGTCTGTCGCTGTTCATATTCTGACTGTGTATTTTCAGCAGCCTATTTATTTGATCTCATAATGCATTAGTTGGGCTTTAGATGTACAAGTTATTTAAGACATCAAAGATTCAGCAGCTTCTCAAAACCAAACTACGTGACTTCAGATACCTGTGAGTGAGAACACACCCACTGCTTCTATTCACAGAGCTGCAGAGACGTTGTGGTTATTCTGCACAGGCTTTATCAGGGTTAAACACTCACATTATAGAAAAGTGGGGTGGTTTAAAAGCACTACAAATGTCTTCTGACAAAAGTTATTTTATTTGACTGAATTAAAAACACAAAGAAAAAAGAAAAAGAAAACAAAGATGACATCTAGATGACCAGTAAAGATGACATGTTGCCTGGTTTACTCATTATTTGGTGTGGTCAGGTTATCACAGCTTCTCTTCTGTCCAGATTAGTCAGCTGTAGAAATGCAAATAAGAAAGAAACTTGATGAATAATAATCAATAATACAAATTTGAAAAAGCTTAAAAATTGCATGCATAACTTTCTAAACATTTTTTTTCATTGATAAAGGAAAAGATCTCTATGTTGAATTATATTTATTATATATTATAAAACAACAACTAAAAAGGTATTTCTTGCTTTGCCCTCACAAATACCATGATTTTAATTATCGTGAAGTTATCTTGAAGAATAAATGAAAGGGTGACTGGAAATTAGACAAATGGTGGTTGATAGTATCTATATAAATTTTCTTTTTACACCTGTCTCCCACAGTGACGTTTTCTCAACACCAGCAGCAGCAGAGCCGTCCATAAAGCGCTGCCAACCATCCTTATGAGGAGGTAGAGGAGAACAGGAAGTTGATCGGAGCAAATGTGGATAGTCTCTCTGTGATACTCTGGAATGACAACGCTAATGTCAGAACACACAACTATTTAGTGAATAAAACATACATATTATTATATTTTTGATATACCCTTACTATTTAAATTGTTTATGTTTTGGGGCTGTGGCCAACAGCAGTGGACAAAAGCCGAGTACTGTTGACCACAGCTAATTAGATAAGCTAGCTAGCCACCATTAGCAGCTCAGCAAGCATGTAAATCTTGATATAAATAATGGTAAAGAGTTGTAATACAATCTCGCCTCTGACAGTCAGCCAGCTCTCTGCTGATTCTCCAGCTCCAGAGACGCTGCACTTGTAGAGTCCTTCATCAGACCTGGAGAAACTGGAGATGGTCATGTTGTCAACTGAGACGCGCTTGATGAGGCAGCCATTTTTATAGAAGGAAGACGAGAGGTTGGTTGAATCTGACTTGTGTCTGCAGCGTAGAGTCACAGCATCTCCCTCCATCACAGGAAGGACAGGACTCTCCAGTATCACAGACCCAGCTGCAAAACATATAGTATTATAATTATTGTGAATGACGTGACTCTTATAGATTTGTGACCATATACAACTGAAAATTGGTGGTGACCCACTGAAGAGAAAGTCTGAGGTCACTTGAATGCAAGTTCATGGAAAGTATTGCCAGACTTTACAAACTGAACAATCCCCATATTGGTGGCTTGTCTGCTTTCACGTTATTGGGCGAGTCATTAAAAGTAAGTTCACTGGCCTTTAACATTGGACTTTGGTTGGAGTGAGGCGTCCATGTTTGTTCAGTCACTCCATTATTATAGAGAAGCACCAAGAGAGATTTAATTAAAAACACAAAAGCAGGAAAACAGTCGCCCACTGAGGAGCCTGCATTTTCTCCTCAATCACTTCCACTGGATGCGCATTACTGGATGTTTTAATGGCAGGTATGAACAGATGAAGCAAACTAAAGTTACCCTTCTGGAGGTCTTACTAGCTCATAATACGCTCTTTAAACTATATTAATAATGAATACAAATGTGCGTGTGAAAGAAAACAGTTTGGGTAAACTTACCTGTAACAGTGATGTTGAGGGTGTCGCTTTTCTTCCCGTCTCCTGTCTCACACCAGTACTCTCCACTGTCTTCTTCGTAAACATTTCTGATGACGCAGAGGGATCCGTCCGAACTTCCCTGTTTAGTAGAACCACATGTGGCGTTTTTACTTTGGGTCTTCCTCATCACTCTCCACCCGACTTCCCCATCAAACCCCTCACAGTGAAAAGAGATGGGCTGGTATTCAAAGTGCTGAAGGCTGTTCGGAACGACGCGAGGAAAAGCTGCATCTGACGCCAACAAGAGGGACGGAAAAAGACGTCAAAAAGAGTTCATCAAATCAAGACAGAATGATTGAGAAAAGCAGATGGATGGAAAACTTCCTAAACACAGAATTCAAACTGCTTACACTGATGTACAAGCACCATATTAAAGCAAAGGAAGTCAAAGCGCTTCAGTGTATATGTCAAAATACCTTTCCTCTCTTCCTAGTATCCTCTCTACACCTTCAATAACAGATATTTTGTATCTAAACAGCATTTAATTCTGGCTCATGTCTTTAATCGAGGTAGTGAATCATGCAAAAGGAGTGAAGGTTAAAGGTAAATCTGGTTATTTACCAGCTTTTGAAGCACAATAATTGTCCTGAACTTGCGTCAGCAGCAGCAACCACATACTCCTCACTGTGGAGAGACAAAGGAAGAGAGTTATATATTTGACATGTATATAAATGCACATCTGCTAGTTAAAAACAAAAACATTTCAGCAGCAGCTAATTACATTCATGCCAAACAAACTGATTATATCATTATATATATGGATTAAATCTGATGATGTAACACTAACAGTACAATTTTAATCTTAAGTATTTAACTAGTCACTGACCAGCGTAAATGTAAAGGAGTTAAAAGTATAATAAAGTAGCATGAATGTTTTGTCAGAAACACATCATCAGATCTTTCCCAGGCTTACATTTTGTAAATGCTAATGTAATGTAACTAAGATCTCCTGGAAACTTCGACAACAGGTTTGTTTGACACCGACTTGTCACAGTTAACTTACAGGTTAATAATGTTCTGTACTGTACAAACTCTAGATGCTCCAACCTGCAGGAACCATCATGTGAAACAGACTGACTCAATACTCACACAGTTTGATGTGGAGAGCAGTGACCTCCATGACGTCTGGCCGCTGACTGTCTGAGACTAAAATAAAGCTCACATTTAGCGTAGATGAGAAACTTCACTTCCTGTGTAGCGTACTTCTGCAGTGTAGAGGCGTCAGTATGCTACTCCTGAGATGGTGACATGTATAGGAACACTGTGCTGATTTCTGATCAGACAGCTCTGGTAAGTGGGTCAAAATCTCCTTCCTCACACTTTTTATTTCAGTTACATCCTTCCAATTAATCTTGTTTTATTATTTACTTGGTCAGGGTCAGTACATATACAGTACAGCACTCAAAGTGAGCCACAGTTACCGTAGAAGCCTAACTTAAGAAAAAGGTAGCCCTACTCTGCCCTCTGCTATAAATCAGCCACTCTCACGCCTTCTTACTGCCCAGGCCTTTAAATACACTACATGTACCACACATGCTGCTGCTGTGGTAGTTTATATGACAGGAGCTCACAAATGAAGTCAAAGTAAAAACTGCATAAAATGAGGTCAAACAACGTGTAAGAAACCATGCCATGTCTGAACTGTGGAGAGCAGAGTGACTGTGGAGAAGAGACACAGCAACAGCTTCACTTGTAGAGTCCAAAAACATCAACCAGACCACAGAGACACAGTTTGAGATTTTAGGCGTTTTTATTTTTTATCTTATTTTCAGTTCACTTTTTTCCTTTAAAGGCTTTAAAACTATGGCATTATGTTCTAGGATTTATCATCCACGCTGAATAGCCAATGGTTTTAGGTTCTGCTGCTCGTATCAGCTTTATTCATTCTTGCAGTTGTCTTTATTGTGACATGAAAGAACCCACAGCCTCTTTTCATAGAGATGTAGAGATGTGTGGTTGTTGTGCACAGGGTTACAGAAACATTACCATGGTCAGAGTAACTAGAGGCACTGGGGTTTAAAAGAAAAAACAATGCAGATTATAGAGAGTTTACGTGGTTTAAAAACACCTGAAATAGCTTGTTACTTGTCTTCACCCCTGAGAAACTGTTCTCACGATAAGACAGTGGTCACGGCACAACAGCTCTACTTGTTAAAGAGACCAGAAACACCTAAAGAGTTTTCTTCTTTATGTTTGTTAAAAGAAGAAAAGTAGAAATCTTGACTATTAAACTGTTTCCACACACAATTGCAGACAGCTGTAACTTTCCATTCACTGAACAATAGAAAACATTCTATTTTTCTCATTGTTCTCGTGTACCTGTATTGTTCTCAAACTTTTCACAATCAACATATTACTCATTATATTTATCCATGCCTTTGTATTTTAATGTTTTTTAACATTTCAAACATTTTAACCCTCTTTATATTCCCCTTATGTCCTAATAACCTATAGACATTGTTCCTGTGCTTCACACGTTACAGAAAAACATAGCAAAAAGAAAAAAAACATACACAATTGATAACAGCAAGATATATCAAACAAGTACAACTTATAGTATCTCAAACATGAAAATATTTACACGGACCAGTTGTATCTGTAAGGTGCAACATGCATGTGGTTCATTTACTTGTTTGAAAAGAAATGATTATCATGTTTGGTTTTGTTTACATTGTTGTAATGTAATGTAAATAAAGAAATATTGATAATGAGATGTTAGCAAGTCTTTCTTGTTACCTACAGCATGATCAATGCATCGCTTAACTGTGGCTATTTCATCCCTGACCACTAAATACAGAAACATAGAAATTTGATGAATTATTGTCAAATTATTGTTCAATTACACTGAAGAATGAATAGAGGTGAACTGCAGGGCAACCAGTAAGAATCACCCGTTGATTGGCCTTAAAATAGCAATCTCAAAAACGAACCCTGCTGCATCGAGCATACTAATATAACAGGGCTCAATCCTCATACTCCTTTTTTCCATGTACGTGCTTTTATTTGGCCAAATTAAATGATAAAATCTCTTGTCACATTTTTGCTGATGAGACCAAAACCTTCCCACTGAGCGTTTTTCATTCCCATATGCTTAGTCTTGGTTTGTTTGTCCCTAAATGATCAACTAAAAGCAGAAAGAAATACAACAAGCCTAGGAGAACATTTGGCACACACTATTTACTTCATTTTATTTTATTTATGTGCTTATTTTTTACCTCAGTTTCCGTTTCAGACAGTGACGCATCATCAGAGCAATCCATAAAATGGTGACCACAGTCCTTATGAAGAGGTAGAGGAGAACAGGAAGTTGATCATAACAAAGGGACATAACCCCTATTGGACACGCTGAAATGATAATAAAAAACATTTATTGTAATGTAATTGCTCAAAGCTTTGGTCAAGTAAATATTACAACACAACACAAAACTACATTTTAATAGCACATTTGGAGATTGTGGGGTTTTTTAATTTGCACTTCCTCTCACCTCTGACAGCCAGATTCTCCAGCTCCAGAGATGTTGCATTTGTAGAGTCCTTCATCAGACTTCAAAGCAGTGCGGACAGTTACGTTCCCAGTGGAGCTTCTCCCAATAAAGAGGCCATCTTTATAGAAATCAGCTGTCACATCGGAAGTTATCTTGTTCACGCAGTGCAGAGTTACAGCTTCTCCCTCCACCACGGGAAGGACAGGGCTCACCAGGACTACAGCAGCAACTGATAAGCATGTAATTAATAAACAGCACAGGCAATATTAAAGAGTAAGCAGGGGGCATGGTGTCAGTTATAATCTGTATAAACCTTTATTTTGTCTCACCTCTGACAGTCAGCCATATCCCTGTCATCTGCCTGCACACACAGGAGTGTCTACAGTGTCTGTGCTCTCAGTCCTACTGAAGGGCGAAAACGAGCGGGTGCGCCTGGGTGTTGTCTTTACGCCATGTCGATCAGAGCCGGAGCCGATAAATACCCATGTCTACTGCAGTCATTTGACCCGGGTGTGAATCCCTTTTCCTTTCCGACAAAAGCCTGATGTTTTTTTGCCCAGTGGATTAAGGAGCAGTTTTGCCATATACTGTATCTAAGAGAAAACAATGGTGATCATTAATGCAGAGTAACTATCACGTGCAAAGCAAAGCCAAATACTTTACCTTTAACCCATTATTCCTGTGTTAGCTTCGCAGTTGTTTTAACAAAATATAAATGGGGCAGTTAAACACAATAATGCAGTTCATTAATGCACCTCTCTAACTTCTACTTACCAGATTTCTGAGTAGAATAACTGCCCTGAACTTGTGCAAGCAGCCACAGCACGTTCATCACTGGAGAGAAAGAGATAAAGCTGTGAATCACATTTTGTTTACTTTTAGATTTTCCTGCTAATTACTGCTGATATATGTTTTCTATACTCCATGTTTCAGACTCACTCAGACTCAAAGAGAGAATCAGGGCTCTGCTACAGGACAAACTGTCAACCATGATCAACAGCAAATATATTCCTCTCTTCTCCACGGTCAGTTTTTCATGTTGCTTCCAACACTTTCACAACTATTTCTAACTCACTTTCTAATCAAGCGAGACCAGGAAATATTTTTGATCCATTTGCATCCAGTTCTCCAGGAATGAACTCATTCCCTCTGCGGCTGGAATTAAACCAAACCCCAGTAATTCAACATGTTATTGAGGAAGTTGTCAAGTTTAAATTACCATCACAGACATGAGGTGACTGGTGTTATTCTGTAGGTGACGCCTGTGTCTATGAATCAATCAGAGGCTCTGAAAACACTGGAGAAGGTTCAGTATAAACTTTTACTAATGTCGAACTGTTGGAAGCTACAGTTTATAATTAAACAGGAAGTGAGTGATTAATATTAAAGTCAGTAAAACAATGTTTTCAGGTCAACCGGACACTAATGTCAGTGATGTCACATCTCCTATTGAAATTGAGAGAAAAATGACGTTCTGTCATATGATCATCTCAACAGGTGGATGTGATGGTGCAGAGGAGAGCTCTGACTATATTAATGTGAATCCAGATTCAGCCAAAGGTACAAACATTTACATCAGTTATTCACCTTGTTTCATCGTTTTCTCTTCACATCACTATCAGACACTATGTATAATGGAGGATATCGTTAAACAGAAGCTTTGATGCAGCTATCTTGAGTTCATATTTTCTGTTTAACATGTAATATTATATAAATATACAGTATATATTTGTAGAAACTTGAAGAACAGCTATTCTACGGGAATGCAAATGAAACAAAGACATAAAATTAAAGTTGATGGATGTTTGCAAATGTTTTATTTTGAATAATTACCGGTTTGTCCACTGCAATGAAATCACAAGCTATATTTACATATAGAGCGTTATGAGTAAAAAGCACAATACTTCACTCTGTAATTCTTAACAGCAGAAGTGAAGTTCAGAAGTTCTTTAAGTTTATTCTGTTAAATCTGAATACTTAGTAAAGGTTTTAACTTTAAAACCCATCGCCAGCATGTAACCTAGCTAATATCTTGCTCTGGAGGAAACTGATTGTCTGCCTGCACACACTTGTTCATTCTATTGTTAAAACAGACATCACAGTTTCCACGGTCAGTACTCACACAGTCTGATGCAGAGAGCTGTAACCTCCATGTTGTCTTCCTGCCGACGGTGTGAACTTCAGAGAGAAAGTACAGCTGAAGTGAGAGGTAGGCGAGAGCCTCCCCCCAACACTAACCCTTTCTGTGCTGCTTCTTCCTGGAGTGGAGGCAGTAGTGAGCTACACTGTGTCCTGTAGAGGGACCCTCATGTCTTACAGCTGTGGTACAAAACTCCTCCTCAGACCCTTCATCTCTGTGAATGTCATGGTGTTGATTCAAATTACGACAGCTGAGGAACTGAGGCTATTCATTCAGTTGAGTTCATGTACTGTAGCTGGCCAGATGTTAACATGTTCCTAAGAAATAAAGTCATTTCTTTAACTCGTATTTCCTGCCTAGCTGACAGAAGCTACTTCATGTGTCCAGAGACCAGCATCAAGCGTTTGATTGATCAGGAGCAGAAGACAAGTGTTTTAGAGTCTGTCTAACGATGCAAATAAAGGAACTGTAAAACATCAGCTCATCTTTGGTGAGCTGTGTTACCTGTGACTGGAAGCAGCCAGCAGGCGGCAGCAGAGGAGCTTCAACAGCTGATCACATAATGAACTCACATAAATTCCCCTGCCTGCAGGCCGTCAAGTGATGCTTTCCTAACATGAGTCCACTGTAAATGATTCAGTCTGAGTGAACTTTGACCTGTGGGAGCAGCATAGAAGGAGAACAGGGCGATGATAGAGGGTAAATGCATTTGTCCTTATTTTAGTATTTGATAAGGAGCTGTAAACAGTTGATGTCCCCACCCTGCCCACACGAAGCGAGAAGCAACTTCACGAGCAAATATGGTCTCACTGCAGAGCATCAACTCTTTATCTCTGTAACACACACAACAAACACTTACACTGACCAGACACATTTTAAAGCTTTCACATAAAGGTTCCTCGTCCCCACAGAGACACTCAAAGCTAATGCTAAGCTAAGATTTGAGATGGTTCACTGTCACGTCAACAACCAGGAAGCACCTGCACCAAATCTCACCTGAGTCTGGACTCTTGTTATTGATTACCATCAGCTGTTTCATCTGCATGTACATGAGAAGGATGGCTGTACTATAGGTAACCTTGAGCAGGAGCGTGGGTCACATGACCAACCTGTCGCCTTGGTTACATCTGATCCAGAAGCAGAAGTTTTTAAAACAAACCGACCATGAATCCAGCAAATTAATAAAAACTGTTTATTTTATTCTTTGACAAAAACGTCCCAATGGAAAAAGCTACAGTAACATGTACATCTGTATTGTTTACCGTGTACAATGATGATAACGTTTATTATAAACAAAAAACATCATGTCATTTTACATCTGTGTGTGTCTCATTGTGCAGATGTTTAATGAGATGAGTTCATCTAAACTCAGTGCTGTGTTCCTGTTTGTACTTTCAGTCCTCAGCTTCATTTTCCTGTTCACTCTCGTCTTCCTGCAGCTGCATCAGAGCTGTGTTGTAGCTCTGCTCACTCACTGCAATAATTCCTGCTGCTTCACACTGAAAGTTTCCACCTGTGAAGCGGCAGGAGGCTTTTATTTTGAGCTGCTACAGGAAGTGCAATGTGTTCACCGAGCGTTTGAAATACTGCAGGGATGATTCGCACAAACAGGAGCAGCCACAGTGAGCTGCACATGATTATTTGAATTGCTCTTTGTCTGGCTCATCACCTGGGACCAGTTTGCCGTGGGAGACCCTACCAGGAGCTGAATGCTCCAGACAACACAGCTCCCAGGATCCTCTGAGCTCACAAACCCCTCCACCACGATAAGGTGGCAACTCACAGAGGGGGATGAATAATATATAAATATATATATAGGTTAATACATATATATATATTTATATACGTATATAAATAGAGTCATCTTACGTTTCACACCAGCCGTCACCTGCTAGTTCAGCAGGTGGAGCTTGGTGGGCATTTTTCTTCATGCGTCTTTTATGTTTCACGACAATCCAAGAAATAAAACCAACAAAACCAACAGCCACAAAAACTGAAAAACCAGCGACCAGTCCAAAACGTTCCCTGCTGTTTCCACCCGTTTCTCCTCCATCCTTGTTTCCTCCACCCTCGTCGTGTCCAGCTGTGTGACCTGCAGAGAGAAGCAGGTGAGAGGTATCAGCTGTCAGGTAGGTGACGAGTGAAGAACAGAACAGAATCCATTTCCTCCTTAAACTGTCAGACATTATCTCCTGCACTTTGATCACATGACTCACATCAGCTGATTTCTACAGAGTCTGGCCTCTAAAGACTCACCTGACTGATGAACATCCAGGTAGATGGTGCTGATGCGCTCAGTCTTTAAATTTGCTCTCTTCCTGTGGTTTGTTCTTCTCTGGAAGACTCGACACTCGTATGTTCCTGTGTCATTACTCGTCACATTCTTCAGTTTTATGGACACGTCACCGTCCTTCATCTGTCTGTCGTTCAGGTCCACCCGGTTCTGAAAAGATGGATGCTGGTGTTCAGGAACAGAACGCCCGTCCCGGAACATGAAGACATATTCTGTCTCCAGTTCAGGTCTGGACCACTCTACAACTATGATGTTTGTGCTGCTGGGAGCTCGGCATGGCAGAGTGACAGTGTCTCCTGGTTCAGCTGTTTTATTTACTTGGACTGCAACAGAGAAAAACACAGAGCAGAGGTTAGAGGATCCAATCACTCAAGCGTACGTCATGTGAGAGCCAATAAAACCAACTGGAATGGTCAAAGTCTTCATAATGACATACGACTTCAGCTCACGAGTCAAATATTTATTAATACTACTACTATGAATACTAGCCTAAGAAATCACAAATTCATTTTCTATTAATACAGTAACTTCAAACGTGTTTGTAGCCCTTTTTTACATCTCATTCTTTACTATATTATCACTAGAGTCCATCAGTGTTACAGCTCATTTATTTAAAGAAATGGTTTAATTATTAACTCCAGTCTGTCATATAATAGTCATCTGACTGGTAACAATATACTGAGAAAATATGGAAATTATGGCTCTGGCCGAATCACTGTAACCTCTTCTTTTACTTAACAAATGAGTTGCAACTCCAAGTTTATGAACTTTATTAATTCATAAAGTCAGTCACTGGATCATGTGGTCACTTACAGTTGAATAATGTAAACAAACTAAGACAAGCTCTTACGGTCAATGTGGACAAACTCTAACATTTTTTAGCTGTATTTTAATATTCATGTATGTAAAATTTACACCAGGGGAAAGTTTCACAACACAGACTTCAGTCTCCCCCCCCCCCCCTCGCTACGCTGCAACCAAACAAGCTGTGACGCACTTTCAAATTCGTTAGTGTGGAGCTCTTAAGAAGCCGAAAACATTTACTGTGTTGCTAAAACTTTTCTCAATGTAAAAAAATGGCCGACGCAGTGGTCATGCAGTTTAAAATTCCATAATGTAGGGCTCTTAAGATGCCGAAAACTTTTCTCAATATAAAAAAAAAAAAATGGCCGGCGCAGTTGTGACGCAGTTTAAAATTCGTTAGTGTGGAGCTCTTAAAAAGCCGAAAACATTTTCTCTGTAGCTTTTAGTTTAAGCCTGCTGCATAAAATCGTCTCTCTGTCACCACACTAGTTTACTTTTTTTAATCTGAAACATTTTCCAAAAAAGTAGCCATTCAGATCGATCATACGCGATCTGTTTAGAAATTTACTCGCGTTTTCAGAGGCCTTAAAAATGTTTGAAGGTCTGTTGACTGTTTCAACATAGAAACAATTAACCGTCTCTCAGGTTGAATGTAAAATGTGAACAGATGCACAGCTCACCGTAAGAGGAAGACACGAGGACCCAGAAGGACAGAAAAGTCCCGCTGAGTGACACCGATGTTAAAGCAGACATCTCAATCCGATGTTGTGGAAATCGACGCTGCTGGGCAATCACTGACGAGCAGGGCGGCTCCGCTTGTGCTTTATACGGAGGGTGGGGTTAAGACATGCCTGGCTCGGTTAGGGCGGATCTTGATTAAACTTTATGATAACGCCACTGTGATATCCAAGAAAACTCCTCCTCTAACTACGGGTTAAAAGCAGTTCTCCCGTAAAAACATTTTACAGGTATTTATCTGTATTAAAACGTGTATTTCTTGTGCGGCAATATATCGACAGAGTGTGTAGTATATTGCCCAGTGTGGAAATGAAGTGTGCAAGACTCGTCCACCTGGTGGCAGTATAGCCACATACATTATTCTCAACAAGATCCCAAGACATTACACAGCTGCAGCAGTCACACTATAATAATAAACTCAATTGCTTTTAATTCAATTTTATTTATCTTTCTATTTAGCCGTTTTACTGGTGTGTCATTTATTTTCTATGATTATTATCTGGATTGTTTTCCTTCTAATAGCCTACTTTTATTTCTGGTTATTTATTTTATTTCTACTTTCATTCTGGTTTTATTCACTTCCAAACATCTCCTCTCTTTTATCATTTTATTATTTTATCTTTACTATTTCATCTTCATTTTTATTTGATTTTCCATGTTCTATCTTTATTCTGTAAAGCACTTTGTGGGACATTTTTGTATGAAAAGTGCTCATAAAAATACATAAGTCTGATTGATTGATTGATTGATTGATTGATTGATTGATTGATTGATTGATTGATTGATTGATTGAATAAGCTTTATTTATTCATATATAGCACCATTTGAGACAAAGTTACAAAGTGCTTTACAAGACAAGATAAAATTGAGGATGAACAATAAAAATGAATAATGAAAAAACAGATTTAAAAATAGTTTGAAGGTTTTACATTTACAAGATTGGGGGTGGGGGTGAGAAAAGTGTGGCAATGAGGTACAGTAAAAAATGAGATAAAGCAGTCTAAAATTATCCAAAATCATGTAATTTGAAGAATGTTTATTTATTTTACATGCAGACACCTCAGCTTTATATAAATCTGTTTTACTTTTCTCATGTTCAGTTCATGGCCTGGTTGTTTGTCTGCTCTAGCTCTGTTGTATCAAACTATCCTGAGGCCAGTTCCTCCATGCCCTGCTGACTAATAGGTCACAGATACACAATGTGCGTGTCCCTTCTTGACCACACTCTAGTGGTTAAAGCGCAGAGAAGCTGTCAGAAGCGAGCAGGTACAAAAAACACCTCCTTCTCACTTCCTTTGAACTGAACTGCTCTCGTCCACAGGAAGACGCAGCTCTACCAGTGTCTAACTGCATTATAAAAATCACCATTTACTATAATAATCAATCAATTCATTAAATAAATTCTGTTAGAGTAATTTAACACAAAAGTAAACACCCAGAATCTCACAAACAAAATGCAACACACATCCAACAGGGTTAGTTTGACTGTCAGTGAACGTGTGATGCTCGTATAGTCTTATCTAAACTCTGGTTGCTTTTCATCAAAGTTTCATCTTTTCAATTCCTCTGCTTTCATTTCATGCACCTCAACAATATGCACTACCAACAGCTGCAGTCTCAGAGGAAGGAGGAGGGTCTTACTTGACAACCCTGTGAACTGATCACATCGCAGCTCTAACATCACCGAGGTGACAGGATGGAGGGAACATCTCTGCTGTGGCTGCTCTGTGAGTCCACCCTTTGTTGGCGATAACTTTAGACATTTCAGATTACACCACAAGTTGTTGACCACCTGTTGACCAATTAAATGTGGTTTTCACATTACCATTTGTTGTTGTCTTAACCGCATAGAATTTTTTTTTTTTTTTACATATTTCACAACAGTCCTTAAAAAGTCTAAATTGTGTCACACAAAAAAGTGGATAAACAAAACAAATAATCATTTGACTAAATCAACACTGACTAAACATGAATGTTGTGTATTAAATGTTTCTTTATAGGAACCATTATTACAGTACATGTTAGAAAAACACTTCCTGTAGTTGGGATTACTTTCTATGTGTGAGGTTGCCATTTTTCAGAGATAACTCTATACTCAAGATGTGATGGAGGCATGGGAAACGGTAGATACGGTAAATAGAGTTTATCTGAAAAGACCAAAAGGTCTGTCGTTTCTCAATCAAAGACAGTTTGGTGTAGAACATAAAAGAAAGAACCATTTCCTCCTTCCTGTCCTCACTCTCCCTCAGTAAACCAAACCTACACCAGTGTGTTTTTCTTGAATGTGAAACCTAAAACCAACCCAAATGTCATTTCTCTGCAGCTCTGACCTCATTGCTATGTCGCACAACAGAAGAAGGTGAGTAAACTTCTTCTGTCACAAGTATTGTGCACGTTCATAAATTTCGCAATAGCTAATTCAAGTTCAGTTCACAAGGGTTAAAATGAACTAGTCATTGAGGGGTTGAAACTTGGTTTGAATGCTCACATGCGCACCCCGAATGACAGGCACACAGAACTGATAAATCAAATTGTTTGGTGAACCCTGATGCCTATTCCACAAGATCACCTTGCTGCCCCCCCCCCCCACCACCACCACCACCACCACATTTTCATTATGTGCCACAACAGTTGCATATTTAAAAACTCCCCAAAAGAATCTAACTGTCCTGTCTGCTGACCAGAGGGTGCAGCCGATTTGTCATCAGGAATAACTGACACATCACACTGACACTAATAAATTTGCAAAGAATGTCTAAAATTCAGTTTTTGTTGTCATTATGGGGTGTTGAATGTAGATTGATGAGGGGGGAAATTAATTTAAATGATTTTAGCAAAAAGCAGCAACATAACAAAAAGTGAAAAAAGTGAAGGTGTCTGAATACTTTCTGAACGCACTGTATATCCTCCCCCAGCCTCTCTGACTGCGAGTCCCAGCAACTCTCAGATGTTTGAAGGAGACTCCGTCTCTCTGGGCTGTGAGGAGGACGACGGCTCAGCTGGATGGAGGCTGACGAGGAACACGACCAAGCAGCAGAAGACCAGATGTGGAGATGGGTGGGGAATATCAGAAGATTCCTCCTGTAACATCAGCTACATCTTCACATGGGAGAGTGGAACTTACTGGTGTGAGTCCAGAGAGGGAGCAACCAGTAACAGCATCAACATCACTGTCACTGGTAAGATCAGACTGTGGAGTCAGTGTTGATGAAGCTGTGTGTAAATGGATGAAATGCTGTAGTTTGTCTGTGTGTTGAGGTGGAGCAGTGATCCTGCAGAGTCCTGTCCTCCCTGTGATGGAGGGACATGATGTCACTCTGCACTGTAAAACAAAGACCCCTCCCTCCAACCTCCCAGCTGCTTTCTATAAAGATGGCTCCCTCATCAAAGAGACTACAGGTCACATGACCATCCACCATGTTGACAAGTCTGATGAAGGCCTCTACAGCTGTAACATCACAGGTCATGGAGAGTCTCCACCCAGCTGGATCACTGTCACAGGTCAGGAGCTTCACTTTGGTTTCCCCACTTATTTATTCACAAATTCACCTGACCAGGTGAGATTCTCTCTACAGGAAAACCTATAACTTCATCTCCTCCCACCTCGGCATTGGCTCCTCCCACCCCAGCCCTGCCCTCTGCCTCAGCCCCCCTCCAGGTTGTATTCAGACTGCTCTACCACCTGGTGGTGTTCTGTCCATACTTCATCTCCACTGTCATCATGGTGTCTTTATATCGACAGAGACCCACAGGTATCAATCAATCAATCAATACAATACCTCTGTTAGTATCATTTACAGTTCTGTAATGTTGATTGTTATTTACAATAGTTTACTTATCATGTGTTGCCTCTTTTAAACTGTATTTAAATCTTATGGTTAACTCCTGACAGGAAATGACCGACCTGTCTCTATCTCCGTGGCAACAGCACTACCCACCCAGGCTGACCAGAGATTGGCTGAGGACAGCGATGATAGCAATGACGTTGTGGCAGTCACCACCGAGCATCACTTCTGAGCTGAACAAACATCTGCTACTGCTGTACGCACTTCTTTGTCATTGCAAGTATTAAGTCACCGAACTGCATTCAAAACTCTGGCAGATTAACTTTTGTTTTGGAGGAACAAATATTAAATATATTAGAAAACATTGTCCGTGATCCATTTCCATTTATCTGTGGAGCTGTTTCCTGTGTCAGCCAGCAGGTGGCAGCACTTCTTAACGAGACTATTACAGGAGCTTCAGCTGGTTCAACAGATGACAGTCCGTTCCCAACTAAACTAACTGAAAAGTCCGAGAAAACTATAACAGGGCGTCTGCAAGTCCACCAATTTAAATTTAAGACTTTTAAAGCCGTTTTTTTGTTTTTATCACTTTAAGACCTGCAGGTCAATCTGAAGGAAATGAAAAGACAAAGTGCTTGGATCTTACAGGATGTTAGTCCAGATGGTTCACTAACACGAGGAATAAAGTTGAGTTGTTGATTCTGAATAATATGTAATTAAAGGTGACAATGACCTAATTACAAAATAAATAATCGCTGCTCAGGAAACTGAGCTGTCGCTTGTTTGTTTTCATAAAACACTTCCTGCTTTTAATGGTCGGTTTTGAAATACCAGTCCAAACCAGAGTAAAACATCCAGGGAAATCCCCAACTCCTGCGGAAGTGACACACAACACTAGAAACATCATGCGACCTTCTTAAGCCAATCACCAAGCAGTCATATCATAGAATCACAGCATGAAACAGTAGTTTTTTGCTGTGACTCCTGAATGGGTTGCTTCATTCATTCATCAATACAATCCAGTCAGAGATAACATGTATGATCTCCGTGTAACAGCGCTCTCTAACAATGTCTTGGATTAATTTCCAGTGACCACATTGGAGTCACGGGTTACTGGGTCACTGAATTTTTCCATCCGGAACAATCTGGAAACATACTTCAGAAAAACATTTTTTTCTAAAATTACAGGATTTACATTCTTTGGATCAGGTGATCAGGGGAAATCAGGTGTTAAGTGACAGAGCTCGAGTCCACCGTCACAGTAAGGCACAGCACAGCAGATATGAATCATATTTCCGATATGTGGCTTGCAAGTCCAGTCAAACCACAAATCCTCCACCCCATAAATGTTCTACATTTTCTTTTGTCCCTTATTACAGGGACAGACCAAGGCTCAATTTATTTTCATTTCTCACATACACAGTTACAGTCCAAGAAGCTCTGAATGGTGGCTGAATGGTTACATCTGTTCTACCAGCAGGATGTTGGTGCAAAGTTGACAAAAAACTGACACGCAGCCTGATCTTGTGAACTGTTTTACATCAGATATAGAATGGCATCTGAACTATAATTAAGTCAGCTATGCCAAACAACTTCTGACGTCTGTGGTTCATGTGGGACTGGTTCAGTAGGATTCCAGGTGACATCAGATGAGGATGTTACCATAATTCCACCCAGGGAGTGTCTGCAGGGTAAAGCACTTATTCACATCTATGGAAAACGCACCGACCATGTATCCAGCAGATGAAACAAAAACACATTTTATTTTAATTTGTGGCATCATAAATGTTTAAACTAATCAGAGCTCAGAGACGATCGCCTCCCAGCAGAAAAAGCTACGATAACATGCACACAACACCAAGAGATTTAACAATGGTTTTCAATGTTTGCATTTGAACATTTTTCTGTTCACTTACATTTGTTTATTATCTCATTCTAGTTTTTCCTTTTTACTTAGTCACTTCCCCCTTACTACCTCAGTGTTGTAACTGTAACAAAGCGGTTTCCCTGCAGGGATTAATAAAGCTTTTCTGATTCTTATTTTATATCTGTGTGTATTTAATTCTGGAGATGTTTATTTTCTGAGTTTACATGAGTTTAGAAGTCAAAGCAACAAAGAAGAGTTTCCAACAAAGTATTCTGTTTCACATAATTTTTTATAAATGAATCAGCAAGTGAGTACATTCATTCATTTGCATGTAACATACATGACATTTCATCAGCTGATAGAACATGAAGCATAGTGATAGATTTAACCAGGAAATGAAGCAGCAAAGTAAAGTAGGTGTTGTACATAGTGAGGATGTTTACTGTGAGGAACATTTAGCTGACAATACTCCAGTTAAAGCCTCCAGTTATTTGACAGAGCCTCATCAGTCACAATCATGTACGAGCAGAGTTTGTTTTCATGTTCATCTGCTGAAGGGAAAGTTTCCCTCAAATCCCAGTTTGACACCCGGAAACACCAGCAGGAGTTTTCACATACAAGTAATTACATTTTTTTTTTTTTTTTACAAGGAAACATATCAGACACATGCTCTTATTGGCAGCAAACCATTATACACTCTAGTAGAGAGTGAGTCAGATTTGCGACAGAGTTGAAGTGAAGTGAAAACACCTCTAACTCAAAATGAGTTATGGCCAGTCACTGCCTCAAAACACCCCATTTCCACTCGCAGAAGACCCAATAACAATGGGCTACTGGCAAAGGAAAGGTATATGAAAACCTTCGGGGCATATTTGTCAGCTTCAGAACCGATCAACATAGATGTAAAAACATCTTTTCAGATAATGAAAGCTGTAAACACACCTGTCACCAACACACTGCTGTTAAACCAGAAACACCATGGTTACACTAAGCTCACAGAAGAAAGAGTGAGCTGCAGCTCTGAAATAAGTTTTAAAAACACACAAGCACGGATTCAAGCGACTCAACAACACACAAACAATCTGTTTTACCAGTTTACACGGCGGCTGACAGCTCACTCTTTCTCCACTGCATGTGGTGACATTGTGATTTGTATGTCATCACAAAATGTGGTGACAAAAAGTGTAAAAAAAACCCACTTATTAAAAGTGCATTAGTTACTACACATTTTTGAATTGCTCTTTGTCTGGCTCATCACCTGGGACCAGTTTGCCGTGGGAGACCCTACCAGGAGCTGAATGCTCCAGACAACACAGCTCCCAGGATCCTCTGAGCTCAGAAACCCCTCCACCACGATAAGGTGGCAACTCACGGAGGGGGGGGAGGCAGGACAAAAACAGACCATGAACTCTGTGTAACAACCAATAAAAGTGTATGTGAAATGTTTCCTTATCAGTGTTTCATTTCAGTTTCACAGTGTTTCATCAGCAGGAGGTTGGTATGAACCTCTACGTTTTCTACAGATCATAAAACCAACAAGCACAGCAACAAGCAAAGCAACAAACAAAGCAACAGACACACCAATAAGAAGAGTTTTGTTTCCTCCATCCTCTCTGTCTCTAGCTGTGTGACCTGCAGAGAGAAGCAGGTGAGAGGTATCAGCTGTCAGGTAGGTGACGAGTGAAGAATAGAACAGAATCCATTTCCTCCTTAAACTCCTATCAGACATTATCTCCTGCACTCTGATCACGACTCACATCAGCCAATTTCTACAAAGTCTCATCAACAACATCCGATGTGAGATAGTTCACTGTCACAGCAACAACCAGGAAGTAGCTGCACCAAGACTCACCTGACTGATGAACATCCAGGTAGATGATGCTGATGCTCTCAGTATTTAAATTTGCTCTCTTCCAGCGGTTTGTTCTTCCTTCATCGACTCGACACTCATATTTTCCTGTGTCATTACTCGTCACATTCTTCAGTATCATGGAAACGTCACCGTCCTTCATCTGTCTGTCGTTCAGGTCCACCCGGTTCTGAAAAGATGGATGCTGGTTTTCAGGAACAGAACGCCTGTCCCGGAACATGAAGACATATTCTGTCCCCAGTTCAGGTCTGGACCACTCTACAACTATGATGTTTGTGCTGCTGGGAGCTCGGCATGGCAGAATGACAGTGGCTCCAGGTTCAGCTGTTTTGTTTACTAGGACTGAAAGAGAGAAAAACACAGAGCAGAGGTTAAAAGGATCCAAGTGCAACTTCCACCGCGGTCAATCAGCCAATAACCTGGCTGACACCACCATGAGCTGTATTTTTATCAAAGTGTGAGTGAATCAAAACATAGTTTAAACACGTTGTTCTGTCATGGCCGACAGGGTGGAGACAGTTGCAACAAGCTCACCTGCCAAATTACAACAGATCGTACGACAGTGTGTTTCAACGTCAATTTAGTTCAATAATCACTCATTTTAACGCATAAGAGAAACAAACGTGGTGTTTTGGTTATTATTTTGTCAGCTACTGATAATACATCTGTCTGTTCTGTATGTCAGTAGCAATAACATAAATAAATACAGCACACACCACTTACCCATCTCTGTGTGTCTTACAACATTTATTAAAACGTGTGTTTGTCTTATTGTACCAACAGAATATGCCAAGAGTGAGAGTGATGACATCACAGAAAAGAAAAGAAAAAAAATCCAAATGGTTGTCATTAATCATCAAGTCATATGTCCTAAGTATGAAATTTAATATTTCTTTATTAAGATAAATTACAAAATATATTTGCAACTTCATATTACGAAGGACAATATTAATAAAAGTAAGAAAAACATAAACAACTTAAGTCTATACTGTTCTCTGTCCCACCATTGTGTCTCTGTTCAAAGGCAAATTATATCAAAACTGTTCCACATCTTCACAAAATAACATCTGGTGTTGATTTCTGTTTTTTATAATGACATTTATCTGCTCCGGCTCTCCCACTATAACTGACCTCAGAATGAATGTCTGAAAATAAGGATTTATATCAATGTCGTCATTCCTGTAACACTTTATTAGGTTTTCAGCCCAGAAAACCGTCCAAATAAAGGCTATAATAACAGGTGAAGAGAAACACAGCTCACCTGCAGAGACACAGACCAGCAAACAGGCTGAAAGTAGAATCCAGTGAAGAATCATGTCTGTCGCTGATGTCGGGCCAGAGATGGACTGAGGAACAGGACTGATCCTGTTCAGCCTTAACACATTCCACACATTCTCATATCCTTCCCATGGGCGGGGACCAATTCATCCATCAGAGAGCGACGACTCGACTTGCTGGAGTACCTGACTGCACTACACGCCCCCTCCCTCGCCCCCCCCCCTTTTTTTTTTTTTCTAATGAACATTTATAAAAATCAGAGCTTGGAATAAAGATAATAATCACCACTGGACATACAAGGCACCACATACAGAAATGTAATATATGACATACACGTCCCCTTATCAAGAGTAATGCTGCCCTATATGTCAGCTATAAGAGGACTTATTATTCTCACATATGTGTATAGTTAATAAAAAGGAGATTCAGTGCTGTGCACAAATTTCTTGCATCAGTTGTTCGAGTGAAACCCGATCCTTGTCACAGTTGCTCCTGTGCTGCCACCTGCTGCCTGTGATGTTACATTATAATTTATTAGCTGAACATGTATGTTGTATTATCGTGCTGCCTGGTGTAGAAAGTAATAGAAGGTGGAAATAGTCAAGTAAAGTGCAGGTGCTCAGTTACTTTCTGATGGTAGAGCTGTTGTCTGTCATTTCCTTCAGTAAAGGCCACTGCATCTCTAAAATCAGATGTTTATCACAAGGATGCATTATCTATCAAAATTTCATGCAGCATACCAAGGAGGTCAAAGGTCGCCATAATCATTGGAATCTATCCATAAATCTGTACATCAGATTTTCCTTTGTAATTACTGTCAAGATTTCTTGCTCTGGACAAAACTGTGGAACTGACGAACCGGCTGACCCTAACTGCTAATGAGATAACGTGGTTCTAATTGGATGAAATTCAGTCTTTGTTTGGTCCAAATGACGGAGGAGGAGATTTACATGAGTGTGTTTTATCATTTCACCTGATTTATTCACAGTCACACAAAGATCAGCTGTTTGTCTCAACATTTGTGTCACCAGTTTGGTGTATATGTTTTTATTGCAGCTCTTGTGATTAAAGTGATAAAGTTCATCTTTAACATTATCTGTCATTGTTTCTTAAGGTAGTCGTGTAAAGGAAAGACACCTTCAATAAAAGTGTATGTAAGTTCTCAGCACTCCTTGAATTTCCCTTCTGTTTGCTCACAGAGACCGAGACAAACCATGCAGGCGGAGTCTCTGTATGAAGACGAAGGGCTTTACCTTGTGGAGGACCTGAATCCAGTCGTCATGGGAACCCTGAATCAACACGGTTATTCTACATTGTGACTTGAGACTAAAATAAACCCGCTTTTGTTGACAGAGGTAGAGATGCTGTGGCTGTTCTCCACTGACTTTGTCGTGGTTAAATTGAGACACACAGTCAGAGGGTTTTATATTTATCGAGACACTCGACCAGAAGCTGCTCACGTGGTTTTACAGAAATTCAAATGTCTGTACTTGACTTCTGAGAGCTGCTCATTCTTGCTACAGTCTCTTCTTCTCTTCAAACATATAATATATTACAATAATATGCAACAAAACAGAAGAACTTTTAGGATAATGGATAATGTGTTATTGCTAAATCATTTATTATCATTCAGACAGCAAAACGTGCAGCTGTATGCCATTCAAGTACAAAATTGGACACAAAAACAAATATATAAACATTTCAAAATGAAAACAAGCATCATAAAACAGAATAATACAATAATAAAAAACACATTGAGCCCAGACAGAGATCTGTAATCTACACCATGTCCTGGTTAGGACGACGTCATTCACAGATGTGACAAAAGAGGAGCACGGACAAAGGACATCCCTGGTGAAGAACCATGAGTCATATGCTTGATTTAAAGTCAAGGGTTTGAACTCAGTCATTGCATTTGCAGTTGCAGTAATTCATATAGTCCCAAACATGTCGTATGATTTATACTCCTTTGTACGGTGGCCCTGAGAGCTCAATGCACTGCAACTTAAGAAAACACACTCTTTCCCTCTCAATGGTTGTGAACATCTCCTGATGCAGTAAGATCCAAGCAAATAAAGTATTTACTGAAAAACTGACTGAGACTCAATATATAATTTGCCAGTGAGATTGTCTTTCAAACTGCATTAACTTTTTGTTGCTGCTACAGAACCCCTTCAACCTCTTTTTTATTCCCCCATGTGGTTTGTGTGTGAGAAGCTGAAACTCTCTCTAGCATCTGTCACATCTAAAATAAAACACTGAACAAGCCTTTTGAAAAGAGCTTCACTTCACTTCCAGCACCTCTGTGGTTTTCTGCTTGTGTCATGTCATGTCATGTCTGATAACAGCAGAATACGTGAACACCCAGCATTAAATGAAATGGACCAATCACATAAAATAGGCGTGACGTAATACTGTCACATTCACAGAGCAAATAGTTGATCATGTTTAGAACTTCCCTCAGACAAACCGTTCTTCATGTTGTCTGCAACATTATCACCAATAGAAACCTCCTAATATCTTAATATGAACCAAGAAACTATTTTACAATGTTCCCATTTAAAAGAGAAATTTATGCAAAATGAATTAAATTTTTTAGTAAAAAAAAATATTTTTAAATGCAGAAAACACAAAGTAATGACTTTATTTTGAGTTTGCTCACTTTCTACATTGATATCTTGTATGATTTGACACCTATATCACTCAGGGAGAAAACAAAGACATTTGATTGCCAGTAATGTTGGCCCTAGTGGAAATGGCAGCCATTTTGAGTTTTTGAGTGGCTAAAAGAGCAATACCCAAGGAGGATTTGTGCCAAGCTTAGTACTTGTATTCAGATTTCCCTGAAATGTACAGTTATCTGCTGCTCTATACATATTTGAAATGTGATAAAAAACATCAGTTTAATTTGGATGGAAGGTCAAATTCAAGCTGGGTTTGTGCAGGAATGATCCCACCTTCCCAAAGTGAAAGAGTGCTACCACCAACAGCTGCAGAACCAATGACACAGTGATGAACACAGTCCTGAAGGGGAGGAAGATATAAACAGAGTGATCTGTGGATGGACTGGTCTCTTTGTGAAGTGCTGCGGACATAACAGAAAGAATCACTGTAACACAATGAAAGCATTCACAGTATGTGTCTGAAGTTTAGCTCTATGTTACCATGAGGTTATTTACATACTGCGCTGCCTACAGGGACATTTTGTTTGTCCTGTCTACACATTGTAAGCTTTTCATGTGTCACTTAGTGTTGTTTAGGTGGAGAAAAAAAGTTTCATGACAACACTTAACACAAATGAATGTGTTACTGATACACTGTTTATGATACCACGCTGGTCTGCTGTACTGTAACCTTCAGCTTTCCAAACTTTTAAACCAGTTCCCGAACCTTGACCAATGATTTGACATAGTTTGCAATATAATGGATGTGAACCCTGATCCCCAGTGTCAAAATCCTACATTATTTATCTACCACCCAGCACGAACATTAAACCTCCTGGACTGGAGGAACACGGCAACTCAACATAAGTCAAGCAGCAATTATATCACTTCTGAAATGTATTCTGCCGAAACATTCAGTAACACTGTGTCTCACCTGTGACCGTCAGTCGGCTCTGTGAGACCTCCAGCTCAGGAGATGTTACACTTGTAGAGGCCGTCATCAGACATGGAAACACTTTCAATAGTGATGTTTCCTGTAGAGCTGCTCCCAATGAGGAGGCCATCTTTATAGAAATCAGCCGTGAGGTCGGAGACGTTCTTCCTGGTTCTACAGCGCAGAGACACAGATTCTCCCTCCATCACAGGGAGGACTGGACTCTCCAGGATCACAGAGCCACCTGAACAACATGACAACATGTTAACAGGCAGAATGAGGAGCTCACAGGAACAGGTGGACATCAAACATAAAGTCCCATTCTTGATGTTCCTGACTCTCCATCCGGCTGAGACATTAAACCCCTGACAGCTGAAAGAGACCGACTCGTACTCAAAGAGCTGCAGTCTGGACGGGACGATACAAACATCTGCACCTGAGACAAAGAAACAGAGTACGACAAGTCACAGCTGAATATCATGACCAAGGCAAAACAATTACAATCACTACTACAAGTATTTTCAGCTTGAGGACTGTGGATTTATCGGACATAAAACATGAAATGAATTCATTGACTGTTTGTGAGGTTCAGGAGAGATAAAGGTCATTGCTTTGGGTCAATGGTAGAAAGATTATATTACTCTGAATTTTTTCTCCCAAACATTACAGCTTCTGTTTTTTTTAAAGAAAAAAAACCTTTATTCACATGTTTGTATTGTTTGTTTCAACCAAGTTCAAGTTCAAATGTCACGCTGATCATTTCTGACGTAAAACGTAAATGCTGTAAGTCCAACAACACTGTAAGGCAACCAATTCAAATAATAATATATATAGAATATACATGCAGTATGAGTTGGTTTAATATTCAAAACACCACATATACTCTGCTCACTCCTGGGCTTTATGGTCACTCAGATAGTTTGAGAAACACTAAATTCTAAACTATTTTAATATGTTTAATGATATTGGAAACACAAATTAGTACCATATGAACAAATTAGATATTTAAGCACTCAGCACTCCTTGAATTTCCCTCCTGTTTGCTCACAGAGACCAAGACAAACCATGCAGGTGGAGTCTCTGTGTGAAGACGAAGGGCTTTACCTTGTGGAGGACCTGAATCCAGTCGTCATGGGAACCCTGAATCAACATGGTTATTCTACATTGTGACTTGAGACTAAAATAAACCTGCAAACTTTGTTGACAGAGGTAGAGATGCTGTGGCTGTTCTCCATTGACTTTGTCGTGGTTAAATTGAGACACACAGTCAGAGGGTTTTATATTTATCGAGACACTCGACCAGAAGCTGCTCACGTGGTTTTACAGAAATTCAAATGTCTGTACTTGACTTCTGAGAGCTGCTCATTCTTGCTACAGTCTCTTCTTCTCTTCAAACATATAATATATTACAATAATATGCAACCCCTCTCAATGGTTGTGAACATCTCCTGATGCAGTAAGATCCAGGCAAATAAAGTATTTCCTGAAAAACTGACTGAGACTCAATATATAATTTGCCAGTGAGATTGTCTTTCAAACTGCATTAACTTTTTGTTGCTGCTACAGAACCCCTTCAACCTCTTTTTTATTCCCTCATGTGGTTTGTGTGTGAGAAGCTGAAACTCTCTCTAGCATCTGTCACATCTAAAATAAAACACTGAACAAGCCTTTTGAAAAGAGCTTCACTTCACTTCCAGCACCTCTGTGGTTTTCTGCTTGTGACAAAGTCATGTCTGATAACGGCAGGATACGTGAACACCCAGCTGGTAATATTTCATTTGAAACACCTGAAAAAGCTGCTCCATGTGATGAAGTCCCTCCATGGCTTCATGCTACACCTGAACATACATAATACACAGTATATTGTAAATAATGATAAATGTGTATCAGTTATTACACCAGCACTGTGTGATGAGCTACATTCAAAACAAATGGAAAATCCCATTAGCTACATGAAATTCCAAGATGGCCGCCATTTCCAGCATAGGGAACACGTTTCACCACAGAAATTTACCCAATGAATCACACTGTTTTCAACTGATTCCAACTATTTGACATTTCAGTGGTAAATGCTTGAAACACTTTACACCTGAATGTTTGGACTTCAATATGAAACTTTACCTGAATGTGTGACGTATCAGAGGTAGCTGCTATAAGCTAACTAGCTTGCTAGTAGTTGGACCGTCATCTGGAGCTTCCAGGAAACTTGTTTTACTTTTCGTTTTTTCTCAGAATCAGCCACATTAAATGAAATGGACCAATCACATAAAATAGGCGTGACGTAATACTGTCACATTCACAGAGCAAATAGTTGATCATGTTTAGAACTTCCCTCAGACAAACCGTTCTTCATGTTGTCTGCAACATTATCACCAATAGAAACCTCCTAATATCTTAATATGAACCAAGAAACTATTTTACAATGTTCCCATTTAAAAGAGAAATTTATGTAAAATGAATTTAATTTTTGATATCATTAATATCTTGTATGATTTGACACCTATATCACTCAGGGAGAAAACAAAGACATTTCATTGCCAGTAATGTTGGCCCTAGTGGAAATGGCAGCCATTTTGAATTTTTGAGTGGCTAAAAGAGCAATACCCAAGGAGGATTTGTGCCAAGCTTAGTACTTGTATTCAGATTTCCCTGAAATGTACAGTTATCTGCTGCTCATTCAAGCTGTTTGTGCAGGAATGATCCCAGCTTCCCAAAGTGAAAGAGTGCTACCACCAACAGCTGCAGAACCAATGACACAGTGATGAACACAGTCCTGAAGGGGAGGAAGATATAAACAGAGTGATCTGTGGATGGACTGGTCTCTTTGTGAAGTGCTGCGGACATAACAGAAAGAATCACTGTAACACAATGAAAGCATTCACAGTATGTGTCTGAAGATTAGCTCTATGTTACCATGAGGTTATTTACATACTGCGCTGCCTACAGGGACATTTTGTTTGTCCTGTCTACACATTGTAAGCTTTTCATGTGTCACTTAGTGTTGTTTAGGTGGAGTTAGTCAGTAGAGAAAAAACAAAAGAAGAAAAAAAGTTTCATGATAACACTTTAAATGATGTAAAGAAATGAATGTGTTACTGATACACTGTTTATGATACCATGCTGGTCTGCTGTACTGTAACCTTCACCTTTTCCAAACCAGATCCCGAACCTTAACCAATGATTTTACATAGTTTGCAATATAATGGATGTGAACCTTGATCCCTAACACCTCCTGGACTGGAGGAACACGGCAACTGAACATAAGTCAAGCAGCAATTATATCACTTCTGAAATGTATTCTGCCGAAACATTCAGTAACACTGTGTCTCACCTGTGACCGTCAGTCGGCTCTGTGGAGAAACACAACCTTGAAAACTTGGACTGTTTTCAACAGAGAAAGTGGGTCTAACGTCTAACAATGCTGCATGCCTGCAGGCGTTTAATCATGTTAGATTTTCTCCTTGTGTTTTCAGTGACTGTTAACTTACCTGTGCTGTCTGTGTCTGGTGTGTCCTCACCTTGTTTCACTGAGTCATTATTCCCTGGGTTCCTCACTAGAATTTAAAATAAAGTTCTTTAAGTTCACTGATTTAATGCATCACATGAGTTTGTACTGACTGATTCACTTACCTATACAGAGTATCATGTGGAGGAGGTCACAATAATTAACACAACCATCTATACATGCAGCTGCAAAGAGCTGCTGTGGCTGCACAATTAAAGAACATGTAAAATATCATGTGGTACTTTCCCTTCTTACACTGTCGTTAGTTACTATGTGTAGAAATTAAGACAACCTGAGGCATGAAAATCATTAACACGACTCTTTACATTTACCTGTGACCATCAGCCGGCTCTGTGGAGACTCTCCAGCTCCAGAGATGTTACACTTGTAGAGGCCGTCATCAGACCTGGAAACACTTTCAATAGTGATGTTTCCTGTAGAGCTGTTCCCAATGAGGAGGCCATCTTTATAGAAATTAGCCGTGAGGTCGGAGACGTTCTTCCTGGTTCTACAGCGCAGAGACACAGATTCTCCCTCCATCACAGGGAGGACTGGACTCTCCAGGATCACAGAGCCACCTGAACAACATGACAACATGTTAACAGGCAGAATGAGGAGCTCACTGAACATTACTGTGGTTTCAGAGCTGAAGTACAATCAACGTACCAGTGACTGTGATGGTGACTGTGTTGCTTCTCTCTCCTCCTGCAGCTTCACACCAGTATTCTCCACTGTCTGACACCAAGGTATAGTTATTGGTGCAGGTCACTGTGGACATTAAACATGAAGTCCTATTCTTGATGTTCCTGACTCTCCATCCGGCTGAGACATTCAACCCCTGACAGCTGAAAGAGACCGACTCGTACTCAAAGAGCTGCAGTCTGGACGGGACGATACAAACATCTGCACCTGAGACAAAGAAACAGAGTACGACAAGTCACAGCTGAAAATCATGACCAAGGCAAAACAATTGTAATTACTACTACAAGTATTTTCAGCTTGAGGACTGTGGATTTATCGGACATAAAACATGAAATGAATTCATTGACTGTTTGTGAGGTTCAGGAGAGATAAAGGTCATTGCTTTGGGTCAATGGTAGAAAGATTATATTACTCTGAATTTTTTCTCCCAAACGTTACAGCTTCTTTATTCAACTTTATTCTCATGTTTTTATTGTGTGTTTCAACCAAACCATAGTTCAAATGTCACGCTGATCATTTGACATAAGACGTAATAAGACATAAGCCCTAAACTGGCGAAGCTACGTGAGTAGACAGTGTCGCAGAACGGTTGGTCACATTGCTGTAAGTCTTACAACACTGTAAGGCAACCTATTCAAATAATAATATATATAGAATATACATGCAGTATGAGTTGGTTTAATATTGAAAACAGCACAGATACTCTGCTCACTCCCAGGCTTTGTGCTCGCTCAGACTGTTTGAGAAACACTAAATTCAAAACTATGATATTGGAAACACAAATTATTACCATATGAACAAATTAGTGGAGGTATATAAATTTGTAATGGATGTTTCTGAAGTCTAATGCAAAATGTGGCACAGTTCACTCATGAGCAGGGTAGTTGCTTTTGCTCGTATGTAGACGTTAACAGCAGTTATTCGGGTGTTTAGCAAAAGGAAACACGGGGTTCTGCCAGTTTAGGTGGATTTTCGTGGTGGGAATTGATTAATTGTACAAAACAGCAAAAATAAAATGCAAATATCACGAAATATTTCCCACTTACCACGACCTGTCTGTACGCGTGCAGCCAGCAGCAGCAGTGCATTCAACACTGAAAGGATAAAGGACGACAACTGTGTATCAGCCAATCAAACTTTTATAAGGGAATTCATGTGAAGTCACTAGGTTTTCTGCACATTATGATCCATTATGCAGCAGCGTAAACGTAATGTATGTTAAAGACATTTGGCAGATGGAGTTAAAATATTCTTGGATGTTGATGGAAGTTGTAGAGCGCCTCAGTTCATGCAATACAAGAGTTCAACTCTGATGTTAATTAGCATGAATGTAACACAATGATTCAGTTTTCAGTTTGATAATTCAGCGAGGGGTTTCTTAAAGATACGTAACATTATTTTGCAATCACTCAAAAGTGTTTCTACATGTAGAAATGCATGAATAAAGGAATTAATTATTTCTGCATTTATTTATTTATCCATTTGTCATGTGTGCTCTTATTTTGTAAAATCGATAATGATGTAAACAGCATCTTAAAACATGCTAGAGACAGTGATGTTGATGGTCACTTTTAACCATTTCCAAATGTAAAGTATCTTTTAAAGTGTTGGACACTTTTCTGATGTACAGTATAAGAATATGAAATTGAGTCAGTACTCACACAGTTGCTTACAGAGAGCCGTAACCTCCATGACGTCTTGCTGCTGACTGTCTGAGCATCGATGTGAAGCACGGCTGTGAGAGCCCTCTCTTCCTGTGTGGTTTATCTCTGCAGTTCAGGCAACATGAACTCACTACTACTGACAGCTCATCACGTAGAGGGACCCCATCCTAATATCTGATCTGCTATTTATATTGGTCAAAAACTTGTTAGTCACATCAGCACAAAACTGACTGACACATGGTGAGAACTGACTGTTCCAGTTAAAGCCACCAAATAAACCTCTGAGGCCACAGCAGCGTACAACCTCCCAGATATCACGTTGCCTTTAAGGCGTCATAACTCCGCGACACTTTGAGCGAGAGACATGCCGTGCTGCTCTCTCTCTCTGTATGTTCATCCATCAGTCATCTTTGCTAGTGATGTCTGTCACTGTCTGACTGTCTTGACAGCGTATTCCAGCTTCCACCTCTCATTGGCTCGGGTGGTGCAAGCCATTTTCTCCTATATTCCACCCTTTGACCTGTAGGTGCCACTGCTTTCTTAAACCCAACTGGCTGCAACACTCCCAATGAGAGAGTTGACTGTGACTTCATTTCTTCAGAAAGTCACAGTAGAATTCGGTCACAGTTTTCGTGGTTATTGTGAACTCATTCTGAATCCACATGAACCAATTGCTTTAATTATTTAGATATACAACTGCGCAGACATTGTTCAGGATACAAAGAAATACTGAATATTAATCCGTGCAGAAGGAACAGTTCACCTGTCAGGTCAATGATGTCACAATTCAAAATGACAGACATCAGTGTCTTCAATCCAGGCTTTCCATGTTGGAGCCCTGGTCCATTATTCCCCTCACCTCGAATCCCTGCACACACTCACAATGTCTTTTCACTAAAGCTGTAATGTACTGGGATCTTGTTGAGAATAATCCGTGACTATGCTGCCACCAGGTGGTCGTTGTTGGTATAACAGTCTTGCACAGCCTTCTCTCTACGTTGTAGATTTCCACACTGGGCACTATACTACACACTCTGTAGATATACTGCCGCACAAGAAATACACGTTTTAATACAGTTAAATACCTGTAAAGGCCTTTTAAGGGAGAATTACTTTTAACCCGTGGTTGAAGGAGGAGTTTTCTTGGATCTCACAGTGGCGTTATCATAGAGTTTAATCAAGATCCGCCCCCAACCGAGTCAGGCAAGTCTTGACCCCACCCAATACCTAACAACCTCCATATAAAACAACGGAAGAGCCGATCGGCCCGCCAGTGACTTCCCAGCAGCGTCGCTCTCCTCAGCCGAGGATGGAGATGTCTTCTTTAACATCGGTGTCACTCAGCGGGACTTTTCTGTCACTCTGTGTCCTCGTGTCTTCCTCTGACGGTGAGCTGTGCATCTGTTCACATTTTACATTCAACCTGAGAGACGATTGATTCTGTTTTGTCACAGAAGTTAATACATTTTGTGAACCTCCGAAAATGCCAGAGTAAATTTCTAAACAGTCATTATTTGATTGAACTGACATCGTATTATACTAAAAATCTGAATGGACTCTGGTATTAAAACTAAAGAACGAGGCTTCAAATTAGTTTGAAGTAATTTTATTATAATGCTGATTTACCTCAGTTGGTGATACTTTATATAATGAATCAGGATTAAATTGCTCTGTACTATCTGAAGTACTATCTGGAATAGAAAAACACAGTCACTTGAATCAAATACTCACTAGATATTCAGCTGAAGAAACTAGGAACACGGGGTGAAGGACTGTTCTATTCAAAGGAGTTAAATATGAGTTAAAGTCGTATATCAATGTCATTATGAAGACTTTGACCATTCCAGTTGGTTTTATTGGCTCTCACATGACGTACGCTTGAGTGATTGGATCCTCTAACCTCTGCTCTGTGTTTTTCTCTGTTGCAGTCCAAGTAAACAAAAAAGCTGAACCTGGAGCCACTGTCACTCTGCCATGCCGAGCTCCCAGCAGCACAAACATCATAGTTGTAGAGTGGTCCAGACCTGAACTGGAGACAGAATATGTCTTCATGTTCCGGGACGGGCGTTCTGTTCCTGAACACCAGCATCCATCTTTTCAGAACCGGGTGGACCTGAACGACAGACAGATGAAGGACGGTGACGTGTCCATAAAACTGAAGAATGTGACGAGTAATGACACAGGAACATATGAGTGTCGAGTCTTCCAGAGAAGAACAAACCACAGGAAGAGAGCAAATTTAAAGACTGAGCGCATCAGCACCATCTACCTGGATGTTCATCAGTCAGGTGAGTCTTTAGAGGCCAGACTCTGTAGAAATCAGCTGATGTGAGTCATGTGATCAAAGTGCAGGAGATAATGTCTGACAGTTTAAGGAGGAAATGGATTCTGTTCTGTTCTTCACTCGTCACCTACCTGACAGCTGATACCTCTCACCTGCTTCTCTCTGCAGGTCACACAGCTGGACACGACGAGGGTGGAGGAAACAAGGATGGAGGAGAAACGGGTGGAAACAGCAGGGAACGTTTTGGACTGGTTGCTGGTTTTTCAGTTTTTGTGGCTGTTGGTTTTGTTGGTTTTATTTCTTGGATCATCATGAAACATAAAAGAAATGAAGAAAAATGCCCACCAAGCTCCACCTGCTGAACTAGCAGGTGACGGCTGGTGTGAAACATAACTTTATATCTTTATAAATATCTATACTGTATATATATATAAGTAAGTATAAATTTACATATATATATATATATATACCCCCCCTCCTTGAGTTGCCACCTTATCGTGGTGGAGGGGTTTGTGAGCTCAGAGGATCCTGGGAGCTGTGTTGTCTGGAGCATTCAGCTCCTGGTAGGGTCTCCCACGGCAAACTGGTCCCAGGTGATGAGCCAGACAAAGAGCAATTCAAATAATCATGTGCAGCTCACTGTGGCTGCTCCTGTTTGTGCGAATCATCCCTGCAGTATTTCAAACGCTCGGTGAACACATTGCACTTCCTGTAGCAGCTCAAAATAAAAGCCTCCTGCCGCTTCACAGGTGGAAACTTTCAGTGTGAAGCAGCAGGAATTATTGCAGTGAGTGAGCAGAGCTACAACACAGCTCTGATGCAGCTGCAGGAAGACGAGAGTGAACAGGAAAATGAAGCTGAGGACTGAAAGTACAAACAGGAACACAGCACTGAGTTTAGATGAACTCATCTCATTAAACATCTGCACAATGAGATACACACAGATGTAAAATGACATGATGTTTTTTGTTTATAATAAACGTTATCATCATTGTACACGGTAAACAATACAGATGTACATGTTACTGTAGCTTTTTCCATTGGGACGTTTTTGTCAAAGAATAAAATAAACAGTTTTTATTAATTTGCTGGATTCATGGTCGGTTTCTTTTAAAAACTTCTGCTTCTGGATCAGATGTAACCAAGACGACAGGTTGGTCATGTGACCCACGCTCCTGCTCAAGGTTACCTATAGTACAGCCATCCTTCTCATGTACATGCAGATGAAACAGCTGATGCTAATCAATAACAAGAGTCCAGACTCAGGTGAGATTTGGTGCAGGTGCTTCCTGGTTGTTGACGTGACAGTGAACCATCTCAAATCTTAGCTTAGCATTAGCTTTGAGTGTCTCTGTGGGGACGAGGAACCTTCATGTGAAAGCTTTGAAACGTGTCAGTATTCAGTGTTTGTTGTGTGTGTTACAGAGATAAAGAGTTGATGCTCTGCAGTGAGACCATATTTGCTCATGTGAAGTTGACTCTGGCTTCGTGTGGGCAGGGTGGGGACATCAACTGTTTACAGCTCCTTATCAGATACAAGGAGAAATGCATTTACCCTCTGTCATCGCCCTGTTCTCCTTCTATGCTGCTCCCACAGGTCAAAGTTCACTCAGACTGAATCGTTTACAGTGGACTCATGTTAGGAAGGCATCACCTGACGGCCCGCAGGCAGGGGAATTGAGTTCATTATGTGATCAGCTGTTGAAGCTCCTCTGCTGCCACCTGCTGGCTGCTTCCAGTCACAGGTAACACACCATCTCAAATCTTAGCTTAGCATTAGCTTTGAGTGTCAGTCTGTGGGGACGAGGAACCTTTACAAGTCCCACGATGACTGGAAGAGAGTCGTTCAGTTGGTTGTAAAGTTAATCAGAGACTTGTTTATCAGCTGTGTGTGTGTGTGTGTGTGTGTGTGTGTGTGTGTGTGACAGACTGATACAGCGTCTCTCAGTGACGTCACTGCTGAGATTCATTTTTGAACCTTGGACTATTTGCTCTGTGTGTGACAGAAACCCCCTGAACGAACAACGAACTGACTCATATCCAGCAGATACTGGTAGATTAACGAAACCTGAAGTGCCCGAAACTCTCTGTCACTGCTCCCCAGACGAGGATGGAATATATGACATATATTTGTTTTATATGACACCTATTAGAAACTGGAACAATATCAAATACTGGCATATATACAGATACGTTTATGTATGTGTGCTCATATTGTAGACATGTTACATAAATATATATATTTATCCCAAACAGTATATGTTGATATTATAAACAGTAAAGTCTGAGACACTTTCCCAGAATGTGAGGATAGACATGTTTAAAATTAATTAGACAATTATGACAATTATAAACAAGCTATAACAGATTTTTCATACACTGATGCAGGTAAGTTAAAGCTTCCTCCTCATTAATCTAATGAGTTACCACCATTTATAACTGGTAAAAAGGAGCCTTAATGTAAAGTGTAAAACCCATCATAATTTATTAATGAATTACAATAAGGCTCCTTTTACCATGCATGAAAACTTTTGTTTATTTATGATTTATAAAGTGTTTTAAATGTTTTAATAAGTGTTTCTTAATGCACAGGTGAAATTTGTCCTGCTGGTGGTGCTAGATGACAGGTCATAGTGTCACTAGAATCCACAGCTGGTTTGAACAAGAGAATGAATATGCTCATTAAAATACGTTTAAATATAAGGAAATAAAACAGCATCAATAGAAATATTTGGGTTGCACTGAAAATGAAATGAGAAAAAAGAGGCTCTTAGATGATTATTTTGACTTTATGTGCAATAAAAAAACTTTTTTTATTTAAATGAAACAATATGGACGCAGATTGTGAGTATGGAAAACGGACCCAAAGCAGCTCATTTAAGAAAGAGAAGAGTACAGAGTGAGAGTTAGCATTAGCACAACTTCTAACACTTAAGCCACTGCCAGTTACAAGCTAACAAACAGCATAAACAAATAACAGATGCTAACTATGCTAACCTTTCTGATCCGTCTGCTAGTCCCTGGTTCTTGTCTCAACAAGTCTGAATCTTGATACTCTCTGCTCTCTCACCTGTCCACCTGGAGGTAGCAGGTGGTGGGCGGGGCACAAGGCCTGATCCAGGTTCATCAATCAGGAAGTAAGAGCAGGCGAGCTTCAGGCCCAGTTTCTATGTGTGAAACCATGTTCAACTAAATATGAATCACAGCAGAGGATTTTTACAGAGTTCAAAACATGACTGGAGAAACTTTAACTCAAACATGTATCATACAACAGTATTGATCATATGAACGATCAGGTGGAGAAAACATGATCATCACAGTCCAACACATGAAGAACGAGACAGCTTGAACAGAACGTGTTTTTCAGACTTATTGCCACAGACTAAAGAAAGTAAAAAAAGGAAACGTTTGTTCTGTTTCTCTATAAAACTGTAAGAGCATGTTGTCACGAGCCCCTTGATGTTGTCCTGTCTGTTTCCCATGTGATTAAATGTGTGAGAGGCTTAAATTATAAACTGCGTCTGTAGCATCTAAATAAAACCCTGAAGAAGACTTAGCGACAGAGCTCATGAACGTCTTCTGAAATAGGTCTCTCGTCTCTGCTCCCTCGGTGGTTTTTCATCAGCGTGACGACAACCAGCACAAAAACCTCAAGCCTTGAATGACGCTGTGCTGCGCTCAAACACGCACATATAGATGAAATTTAAAAAATCCTTCAAGTCTTTCATGAGTTTTAGTCGTGATATTTTATCTCGCCTCATGACTGGAGTTTTTTCTGTGAACCTCCGAGTTTCCCACAGTGCAGTAGTGCCACCAGCAGCAGCAGCAGAGCCACCATCGCCACGGTGACCACTGTCCGTACGAGGAGAAGGATATGGAGGAAGTGTTCTGAGAAGATCCAGGCCTCTCTGTGGAGCGCTGCAAAGACGACAGAAATAATCTGCTGTGACAGGACGACGACACTGACGACTGTTCAGTTGTGATGTTATTTCGTCTTTTGAAAATGACCAAACACAGAAGTCACGACGGAGAATGTTAAAGCAACGCACCACATGAAAATCTAAGACCTTCATTCAATCTTATTAGAATTTACTAGAATCACCGCCTCGCAGCCAAGTTGCAGGACATATGGTCACAGTCTCCCCTTCCTGTGAAGTTGACCTTTGACCTTTTGGATATAAAATGTCATCAGTTCATTTTTTCCTTATACACATGTGACTTCTATGCTGTCATAATTAGCGGATTAAATACATGAGGTATGGCCAAAAACATCTTTTATGATGTCACAAAACACGTTTTGACCTTTGACCTTTGATCACCAAATTCTAATCAATTCATCTTCGAGTCCTAGTGAACATTTGTGCCGAATTTGAAGAACTTAGATATCACGTCAAGAAGGCCATAACGGTGTTTTGTGAGGTCACAGCGACCTCGACTTTTGACATTTACTGAGATATCGTGTTCTCGAGAACGAGACGGACGGAGAGAGAACGTGAAAACATAATGAGTCCGGCGGCGTATTTTATTCCATAATAAAATAAACGTTTCAAACGTCTTTCCTGTGTCACAAACTCTTCACTAACTCAGCGCTGTGAATGATTCGGCTGCAACTGAGTTACAGTCATGTAACTTTACTTGTTATGAATTGACTTTATGCCAAATTACCAAACTCAAGGCTTTTATTTTGAAACATGCTGTGCTCACCTCTGACAGTCAGCCAGCTTCCTGCGGACTCTCCAGCTCCAGGGATGCTGCACCTGTAGAGTCCTTCGTGAGACTTGTAGATGTAGGCGATGCTCATGTTTCCGGTGGCGCTGGTCCCGATGAAGAGGCCGTCTTTGGAGAAGACGGCCGGGATGTCGGCGGATGATGTTTTGTTTCTGCAGCTCAGAGTCACAGCATCGCCCTCGGTCACAGGAAGAGCGGGAATCTCCAGGATCACAGAGCCACCTGAACATGTGCGTCATGAGCATCTTGTTTAATATACAATAAAAGTTTTAAAGAGACGAAGATGATTCAGTGGCTCGTAGAGAAACGATTGTGACAGGATGTTGTTAAAGAGTAAGTGGGTGACTTTACCTGCACGTACGATGCCTCCAAATGTGACCCGACATAACTGTTCATTAATCTATAGAAACTATAAGAAGAGAAGCTGAATACCTTCAACATCATTGTGCATCACAGTCAGCCAGCTCTGTGGTGACTCTCCAGCTCCTTCCATGCTGCACCTGTAGAGTCCTTCATCAGAGCCGGAGACGCTGTGGATGCTCATGGTTCCTTCAGATCCATTCTGAATGTGGCGGCCATCTTTAGAGAACTCAGCTGGGAGGTTGGAGGCATTCACCTTGAGTCTGCAGCGCAGAGTCACGTTGTCTCCCTCCATCACAGGAAGAGCAGGACTCTCCAGGATCACAGAGCCAGCTGAAACATATATTTTTTATTTACTTATTTATATATATATGATAGAAGATGCTAAAAGATGCTAATTCACATCCATGTAGTACCAAGGCAGGTAACATAAAAAAATACAACTCATAATACACTGCTAGAAATATAAAGTATGCAAATCAAAGATTATTCCAGTTTCTAATAGATTTTATATATAATTTTTACATATATGTACAGATATGTTTTACTTCATATGTATATATATATTTCACATATATGATTTTTTTTAAATTTGTTTTAATAGAATTCTGACTTAAATCTTTGAATTCTGGCTTTTTGTGAATCATTTTGTATAAACACACCGGTGACGGTGATGTTGACACTGTTGCTCCTCTCTCCTCCTCCGGCCTCGCACCAGTATTCTCCACTGTCCCGCTCAAAGACATTGTTGATGGTGCAGTTCACCGCCGGCGGCACCGTGCCGTTGGTGCACGTTGGGATGATTTCCACCGTGTTCCTCAGCCATCGCCATGAGGCCGAGCCACCGGACTGCTCACAGGTGAAGGAGACGGACTCGTACTCAAAGAACTGCAGTCTGGACGGAGAGACGTTTGGAAAAGCTGCATCTGAGATTAACGGAGAACATCAGATCACAAGTATTAGAAAAAAACAAGAGGCATTCATCGAAGAATTTGGTATCTATGACTTTAGGACCAAATGTTTTCATCTAGAAGGAGCATGAACCAAACATGGAACTGATTGTGTGAATATGGTAGAATGCTTTATTTTATTAGTTTGCAATTTCTTATTAAATTCCTAATATTTCCCAGTATGTTCTCTGTAAAGCACTCTGCAGTATTTCACATATTACAGAGACAACAGTATTTTCCAATAACAAACTTTCCATTTACACCCAAGTCAAACTATATTTTCCATATATATTTTTAACTGCTTGCCCTGAATGAAAGACTCTCTAGGTCTCACTGTTAGAACCAACTTATGTCGTTGGGTAGACGCAGTTCTGCTCTGTTCTTTAAGTTCACATGAATCAAACAGCTGATCTTGTTTGAGGGAGATGCACAAAAGACGGACGGTGAAAAAGTAATCTATTACTCAAGTTAAACAACATGCATATTATATTTAAGTCTGCAGGTAATTCATTAACTGTCTGCGACTCACCTGCTCTCAGAGCATGACTGCAGTTTCCATACGCAGCCTGCAGCACCAGCACGTTCAACACTGGAGACATCAGACACTCAGCAGATCATTCAATATGCAAATGTAAGTTTAATAGAAAACTATATCATACATTTTTTGTCATGTAATGACAGATATAAAGATACAGGAGGAATTGAGACGTTGTTAGATGTTAGGAGATTCTGATGTATAGAAAGAGTGACCTGAAGCTGAGGCGGACTCAGTACTCACTCAGTGTGAAGCAGAGAGCTGTGGCCTCCATGTCGTCTTGCTGCTGTCTGACTGTCTGAGCATCACACAGCAGCAGATGAATATAAAGTAGGTTAGACCCTCTTCCTGTGCGAGTTATTTTGGTGTTGATGCATCAACAGTGTCGTGCACGAGGTTTAAACTCAGTGGGAGGGTTCACAGAATTACAGGTTAGCAAAAGGTCAAAGTGAAAGTGTGTGTGCACGTAGACCATGTGCTGAATTGTTTTTTTGATGAGGAAATGCTCTTCCTGTCGATCGTGCACCTTTTGTCTTCCTGGGTCAAAATTGACCCGATCTGTTTGACTGTTTATAAAACACGAAGTATAAAATTATTACATCTCTTCAGTCAACTTCATATCAATTCATTACCGTGACTTTTACACTTTCTTTTGGATTTTTATGGTCAATAAACCTTGTTTACGTGAAAATAAACCTTGTTTTTAAGAATTTATTTTGACTGTCGTTCCAATAAGAGGAACCTGTGACGGTGGATTATCACATACGTCAAAGGATAAGGATTTTATTTTTGAAACCATTTCAATAGTGTGACCCATTGTAGTGGCCGGGTCAAATCTGACCACAGGTGCTATACATTTCAACAATACACACACAATTTTATAAAAAAGTTGCAAAAGGTGTAGTGAGGACGCATCCGTGTTGGTTTCAGCCATCACGTGAAAGAAAAACCAGATTTCTGATAAAAAGACATTTGAAAACAACCGTTAATCTTAACATGACTGATGGGTTTTTAACACACAGCTTTTTCACAGCAGATATTTCAACGTGTCACTTTTGTTCTTGCTGTGTGAATCCCAGGGCTGAGCAGTAGAGAGCGCACTGTTCACAGCAAGAAAAGACTGTAATCTGAGAGAAGTGACCATCCAATCAGGCAGCAGCGATGGGGAGGGGGCTGGGTAATGGGCTAGGAGGCAGAGGATAGTGAGACTGATGCTAACGGCTGATGCTTGTCATCCAGACCTCAGAGCAAGAAAAGGTGAGTGTAGAGGCAAGAAACGACTTTTATATTTGTTATCTGAACTTTTAAAATGTTTTTGAATGGCTGAACAGACTGACTATTTTCAGAAGTTAATTGGAATTAATCAATTCATGGGAAAGGACTTCTGGCTGGACTAATGGTGGTTTAAAGTTCACCGATGAACACAACAGCGTTCTTGTTCGATGGAGATACAACAGTCAAGGGTCAGAGAGGTGTGTAGGAGGGTGATGAGTAATCTATGCAAAACAAATGCAAATATTTTTAGGATGTAGACAAAGGCTTTGTTCTTCAGGCTCTGAGCTTCAGCACATTCAGTCTGAAATAAAATAGTGGAGGGCAAATAAGAATCTATCAGCTGTGGATATCAGAAGAGTCTGAACATGGATCCTGCAGCGAGGCTCGTCCTCCTGCAGCGCTCACACGGAGCACGACATGATGATCTATGTTTTATTATGTGAACAAGGAAAACTGCTGAGAACTGCTATAATCACATAAACACTGTGCAGGTGTGAAGAAGCTGATTCAACAAGTCATGACTCGCTTATCTTTCCACCAGAGTGATCACACACACACACAAACAAAAGATTGTTTGGATTCTTTAGTCCAACAACGACATCCAGCTGCATCCTGCTGATGAACAGGACATACCGGCTGCAAAGCTAAGCTAACCCAACACCACTGTTTTTACTGTTCCCTAAAGCTCATGCAAATATTTGAACCAGTCCATGAAAGGTTCAGGTCAGGTGATGAAAAGGCTCAGTGTAAGAGCAGAGCTGTGAGAGAAAGGGGTATGTGGCTTTATGTTGTTATATTTCTTGTCTTTTTTCTTGCTCAGTGATGATTTTATTTCATAAGATATAAAGTAAGTTCTCGTTTTGATCAGTGATTTTACTGATATTTTGTTTTTCAGTTTCCAGACTTGAAGCCGTTTCACCTGAAGCATGGAGTTTAAACCAAGGCTCGTTGCTTTCATTGCTTTGGTTCTTCAAACTGTTCCCATCGTCCTGATCCTTCACTCCTCTGCAGGTACATTTATAAAGTTATAGCTCGATCACAGTTTACATCAAAATACTATTACTAATACACTCACTAATACTTTAAAAGCAGTCTATAAAGTGCTTGGAGAATCGAAGAAAAACTACATATTTAGTCTATTTTGTTTTCAGTCTGGATCTATTTTCAGCTTTTCATCAACTGGGTCAGTGAAGCAGCAGGTGAGCAAACTCAGGGACTTTCCATGACTGTTGCTAATAACCCTGAGAACCATGGCAACCTTTGTTTAAACAGACGGATCATTTGGCTGCAGTAAATATAAGCGGATAAAAGCCTCCAGGGACGATATAGATGTAATTTATCTAACCTGTATGGTTCCACGTAATGTGATGCATTAGAAAAGACAAAAGCAAGCTGGCAGGAAAGCAGAAGTTTTGTTTTCAGTTCTCATGGGAAAACAGATAATGCAGAGATATAGAGTTACAACACTCAACACTTCCCATGATGATAACGAACAATCGGAGCCAAGGTGTATTTACTTTTCTGTCATGTGGTATGTCAGCGTTTTCCAACTCAGCTCTCAAAAATCTCAAAATGTTGGTGGCCCACATCCAACCCCATAACAATATGGAAGCCAACTAATACTTTCTCTTTTTATTTTTATTTAAATAATAATGATCGAACATTCAGGATTGAATCAGACCCAGATAGGAAACAAGTATATGTGTGGTCTGGCCGGTAACAACATTTTTAATATCTAAAAGAGAATTTACTTCCAAAATATTCAAAACCATTATTTATATTTTCATTTTTTATTATATTCTTTTACATTCTTATGTGGTATGCAATTGAGAAAATTCAATTTTCTCTACTCATGCAAATACAATTTTATGCATCATGTTTATTTCTGTCATGTATTTCACCTTGTAGGACATTCAGATCTGATTTGCTCACACCAACCAATAGTAGCCTTGACTGGTGATAATGTCATCCTACCTTGCTGCCTTGAACCTGCCATCAGTGCAGGGACTGTGGAGTGGACTAAACCTGGTTTGGACCCAACAAATATCCATGTCCACCAAGATGGACGACTGGAGCATCGGACTCAAAATCCTTCTTATAATTACCGAACACGACTGTTTGTGGATGAACTGGAACAAGGAAACGTCTCCATGAAAAATATTCAGTGTGAAACTGTCTGATGAAGGAAAATACAGATGTTACATTCCCGCAGTGCAGAAAGACGCTTTTGTCCAACTTGTTGTTGGTGAGTCTCAGTCTGTGGTCTGAGGATGTCAGTGACCCAACTTTTTAAAAACAACACCATTTTCAAACTAGAATCACCTTCTAGTGGTTGTCTGGCTTCACAACTTAGACTAGTTTCAGATTAATTCCTTTTTATCTAGAGTCATAAAATATAAAGCATGTAGCATCTACCATCTACCTCCATGTACTTAAGATACAAATCTCACAGATGAATATCTCTACACCTGGAGAAATGAAAGCCAAACTACCTGCATAACTAGATACCACAAGAGAAAAGAGCGAACAAACTGTTTATCGATCATTTCTGTGAAGTGACCTGTTAATGACTCTCTGAGTTCATGTTGCTGCCTGCCATAGTTTCTTCTTCAGAAGTTTGCATTTCCAATTCTTCCTGTAACAGACGTTATGAATGCATGTTGCACGTTGTGGTAATAGCCACCCAGGGCTGTGGGCTGTATGAGAGTAATAAATTAATCATTGGTGCCAGATGCAGAGACTGTTAACACAATCATGTAGCGTATCCACACTGCTGTAAAACACAATGAGGAAAAAGAGGAAGAGAGAAGACACGACAGTGGAAGCTAATTCACAGTTCCTGCTGAAATAACATGTTATTAACATACTGTATCATAGTGTTAACATGCTGGGAACCATAATGCTAAGATGCTGTAATCGGTATTGTTAATTCATAAAATAAAGACTGCTGCTGATTACAGTTTCATCTTTTAAAAATAAAGTGTCTCCGTAACCTGCAGCACTAATGCTACGAATGTACTGATCTGATAGACTGAACAGAGCTACTGTATATTGAAGAAGACATGGCCACCCCCACTTTGCTGCAGTGATTTTATTATCAACACTTTGACAGACAACTGTACCAGATATAATGGAGGTGCCACAACTCTGTCACTCTGGTGGTCCATGCACTAATTTGCAGAGTTTGAGGTCACTCTGACCTTTGACCACCAAAGACTAATTCGTCCTTGAGTCCAAGTGAAAGTTTGCACCAAATTTGAAGAGATTCCCTTGAAGAGTTCTGGAGATATTGCATTTACAAGGCAAAAACAACGTATTGTGAGGTCACCATGACATTGAATTTTGACCCCCAAAGTTGAATCAGTTCGTCCTTGAGTTGTTGTGAATGTTTGGACCAAACTTGAAGAAGTTCTGTCAAGGTGTTTCTGAGATATCATGTCCATGAGACAACCCAAAAACAATATGGCTCTGACTGTTGCAGAGGAATAAAAATGCATCTACAAGACATCTGCACAGGTGTACTGCTAATTATTTGTGAGGATTTAATCTGAACCAAAAATTTCTCCCGTTTCCCACCAACAGGTTCTGTCTCCTCACCCGTCGTCAAGGCAACCAACTCCACCTTCAGCGGAGTGGTGTTGCACTGTGAGTCTAAAGGCTGGTATCCAGAGCCTGAGCTGTTGTGGCTGGACGGTGAAGGAAAGCTGCTCTCTGCTGGACCTACAGAGACAGTCAGAGGTCCTGATGACCTCTATACTGTCAGCAGCAGAGTGACTGTGGAGAAGAGACACAGCAACAACTTCACCTGTAGAGTCCAACAGAAGATCATCAACCAGACCAGAGAGACACAGATTCATGTTCCAGGTAAACATGGTTTCTACATTTAGAAAATGATGACTGTATTTAAAACCTGCTTTTATGTAGAAATCTATATTTTTAGTTTTGTCTCTTATCATTTCAGATGATTTCTTTATGACGCAGTCCACCTCCAGTTCACCTGCTTCTATCATTGGTTTGGTTGCTGGCATCCTCATCATCATTTCTATTATCACAGTTGCCATCATTTTTCGGAAAAGGAGAAAAAAGAAAATCAGTATGCATAATTACACTTTTCTGATATACAGTCATTTAACCCATCAGTTTTGTTAAAACATGATGTTAACCCTCTGCGGTTTTCAAGATGTTTTTATTAATATCTTTGTATCAATACAGTACAGAAATGTGATTTAAATTCAGTTCATAATCTTGCAAGATCACATGTGACTCACAGATATTTTACTGTTTCTGTTGCACAGAGACGAGTGGAAACCGAGGATCCAATGATGAAACAGGACAAAATAGGACGCAGTCTGGTTCTGACGGTGCTGAAGTCCAGCCTCTGGCTGAAGGAGGAGAGACGGAGAAACTCAGGACAGAAAACGCAGAATCTGAACATGGGGGAGGTGAAAGTGAAAACTACACCCATGCACGGGACACTGTTTCCTATCGAGGAGGAAAGAAAGGTAGAGCAGCTAATGACAGAGGGAAAGGTAACCTCCAGAGGTGTTGTTAGGATCTTGGGATATTTGGAGCCTGGACGGGGCTGGCCAGGTGGTGCTGGGTGGGGGTAGGTTGGTGGGCGGGGCGGTCACAGGAATATTTCATCCTTTTTGTTTTACTCTTCTGTTTGGCAGCATTTTTGTTTCACTGTTTTGAATGTTATGTAACCACTATTCCCTGGTGGCACGTTTATGTTGATCACATGATCAGATGTTTGACTGACTTTATGACGTTTTGCTGATACCATGGATGTAGAAGGTCGTAGTTAGCGTAGCATTAAGCAGCAGGTGAATGAAGACATGTAACTTGTGTCGAGTAAATGAAGCCACATTGGAAACATCCATACAGAAGAGAAGCTAAGCTAACAGGCTAGGCTATGAAAACATAGCAACGCTAACTTTCATTTCCAAGTGTAACAGACCGACTGCGTCATGTTTCTGAGTAAAAGCATCACAGATAAAGAAAGTGTCAGAGTGAATGATGAATGAAAGTATGTTTTCTGTCTTTTCATCTTCACTAATGAACCATTTAATTCACTGGGCAGCTCAGAGGCGACCAGCAGCTACCGCCATCTTTAAATGTTGAATGTATTCTGTTTGTGTGTTACTCAATGAATGACTGATGTTTGGAAATCAATCAATACACCTCAAATGTCAATATGACAACTTTGACCATTTCATTTGTTTTCATTAGCTCTCTATAGGACATATGCTTTAGTGATGATCAGATCTTCAGTTGTCAATAGATTTTAACCAGATTGTGTGAAGTGTGGATATTTTATTTCATCACTTGGACAATAAAAGTGGCGGGGCATTGTTCTGGTGAGACTGAAGAAGGAATGCACCTTGACTGAAATTTAATTGTTTTAATGTTTTTGTATATTTTGCTTTTAAAAAATGGTAAAATGGATGACTTTTATATTTTCTTTTGATTCTATGAATTCAATTTTTCATGTGTGCAATGCTGGATTTGTGCTCTGATCTTTTTTCATACATCCCTGTGTCATACGTCCACCATGTTCAATAATCAATAACGCCTCCTGCTGGTGGAGCCCTGCATGAGGTGTGGAAAGAAAAATAGTGATGTACTTGACATGTCTGCTAATTTACTGCAGGGGGCAGTGGAGGGCTTCTTATCTGTGTTCATTACATGTGTTTGAGATGTTTCAGTAATAAACACTGATGCTGTGAGTCAAAACGGTTGCACGTTACTTGTTTGGCCAGTTATTTATAAATGGACAAAAACAAATCAAAGATACCATCATCTGCACAGTTTTCAAAATGTAAATGTTTACATGAAAATGTGCCAGAGCAAACATACTTTTATTTTGACATAAACAGGACGTTAACAGACCAAGTAAAAACATTTGAAGTGACAGTTTTTTTTTGTGTCTTTACATTGTTTTCACTACATTCATCCAAAAAACTCAAATTCAGCACATCTGTTTCTTTCACTGTTCATTTTTGAAATGATTGCAACAGAAAAGTCAACAAGTCAAATTCAAACAACAGATATTGTACCTGCCTGGATTTGCAATTTATGGAAGAACTGAGAGGTAAGATTTGTCTGTTTTGTGAGGTTTTAGTTTGTATGTTGTTTTTCAAATACTCACAAAAGCCTGACATTTTTCCTCCCAATTTGCCTCTCAGGGCTTCTGTAGATATTGGATGATGCTGTAAAACATAAGTGGACGACTGACTGTTGAGCAGCGGATTCAATATTCAGTCAAACTCCTGTTAAACTTACGGACATAAAATACCATTGTAAATACTAAAATTTAAAAACAAATGTCGTAAAGAAAAGTTCAAACAGTTCTCCATCTTCTTCATTCAGGCGTCGCTGTTCTCAGTGATCTGTAAGACACAGAAAATACTGCCTCACTGAAATGTTTTTAAAGAATAACTATAAAAATAACATGCTTCTGACTTAATATCATTGTAAGTTCAAGTTTTGGTCCACATGACAACTTCTCTGCCTTCCCTCTTCTCTTTCGTTCTTGATGTAGAGATGATTAATCAGATTTTAAATAACTGATTTGATTGTCGTACCTATTGGATGGAAGAATACATGGCCTCCTCATCTGGTTCTGTTTTGGAAATAAACACAATTCTCTCAGTCTGTTGATAGAAATGTTCATGATGGAAACCAAAAATATGAAAATGATCACAGGCAGCTCAGACGCAAAGGGGATGGTTTTACCATATAACCATATAATCACTGTAACAGAGGTGACCCATATCACATTTCTAAGCAGGTAAATCAGACTCTCAGATCTGGCCAAGTTTGGGCAAAACAACAACAACAGAGAGAGAGAGGGGACGGACCAGTCACAGTCACCTCTTCTCTAAAAGGTTTGTGGTGGTAGAATAAGATATTCTACTGTTGGAAAGAATAAATACAGGTCATTTTAGGTATTTGTTCTGTCAACGTTGTGCAAAGCATTGTTAACATGCTTGTGTAATCCAGTAATGTTTGGTATAGACACAACCTAGAGAAATTTAAAGCATTAAGATAACATAGTTACCATCTTGAAGAGCCGGTGGACTGTCATCGACAGTGAAAGTGGAGTGAAAAGGCATGAGTTCAACTTCATCTGAAAAAGAGACACAAAGAACGGTCACATCGATATTCACCTCACAATGCAGCACGATATTAATACAAGTTGGTTTTCATCGAACGTGAGAATGACAGCAGGTCGAGGGGCCTCTTACCTCTTTCTGTCTGTGGTTTTGTGCTGTGGTCTGTCTCCAGACAGACGCTTGAACCATCAGCAGCGTCTGCAGAGTCTAAAATAAAACAGCAGCTGTTGAGACTCTTCTTACACCGTGGTTCTCAAACCCCAGCGTGACCTGCATCTGCCGCTGGTGAACTTTGAATGCAAATAAAAGACTTGAGTAGCACTTTACCTCAAAGTGAATTATCGGTCCTCTCCTCCTCCTCTTACCTTTTTTACACATCTTTTTCTTCTTTTTATTGACGACAGCGTATATGTCCTTGTTTGGATCACTCAGCTGGACCTCCAGTAAAACTGAAACAACAAGGAAAATGTTTCTTATCATCCGTATTTCAGCAGAAGGACTGTATAGAATAATTTCAACTTGATTTAAGGGAGATAAGAAGGCACACGTGCAGTATGTACACAGATCAAATATTTAGGCGAAGTTTTGGGACTTTTTCTTCAAAATACAAGTAAATTAATTAAGTAAATAATGAATATATGTTTCTAATTTGATATGATAAACATAAAAATGAAGTTAGCTTTAACAGTGATGGCAACCGTGACTGATTAGACAAACAAATTCAGTCTTAACTAGATTTAAAGTCAAAATAAAATGACCATAATTTAAATTCTTCTTGGAATGATTAAAATTCATTTCAGTACCTTTTAATCTTCACTTAATCCACTGTTATTACCCCGTTTTGCTGGTATTAGGAATAATTTTAGTACCTAGTTGTTTCTTCCTGTAAAGCAGTCCAATCACCAGCAGCTGCAGAACCAACACAACCGTGACAAGGATCCACAGCAGGATGTAGCAATGCTGACGAAGAAGACGAGATGCTGGAAAGACAAGAGGAAGAGTCAATGAGTAGTTGATAAATGTTATTCAAATCATATTATTCCAGTCTAATGTTGTTTGTTTCAACTCTTCATTGAAACTATATGTCGTTTGTACACCTATTCTTACTTCTGTTATTTGTAGTTTCGGTATGTTTGACACTAGTTCGTACTGGACCTTAAACAATTAATTCATTAATTGATTTTTCGTTTAAAGAAATTTAATCCGCAACTATTTTGATATATTAAGTCATTCTTAAAGTCAAAAGGCCGACCGTTGTTTTCTTCCACGGATTTGCTGCTTTTTTTTCATTTATATAAACGCCTGCTGCTTCCTGCAGAAAATCGGTTTGACAGCGAAACCCAATGTTGGCGACTTGATATTGTCACATTTAACAAACATTGGGTTTTCTAACGACCAGAATGTCAGTATTTTACGTCATGGCGGAGCTGGCATGAGACACTTGGGAGACATTGGATTCTAGTTACTTTACAACACACTTAAAACCAATCAAACCTGGGCAAAATAAGAAAATGATGGTAATACTTTTGGGGGAACTGGCCCTTTAAGAAACAACTGTTAATGAAAAAGGGGCTTTGGCTTCAACTAGTACTACAAACAAGTGCAACACAATCTCAAAAGGCATTAGTCTCACTGGGCAAAATGAACCAAACGAAATGAGGAAATGCAACAAAATTCAAAGAAACTCTTCCAGTGATGTTTACTATAAACACAACCTTGAAAACTTGGACTGTCTTCAACAGAGAAAGTGGGGGGGGAAGTTTGAGGCATGAGTTCATCTTCATCTGAAAAAGACACACAAAGAACTTAAAACCAACAAAATATCGACCTCAGCTGTCGTCACTATTCTACTTCAAATTGACGTCAGCATTGGACGTAGCGCTGACGTCGAATTTTGGTAACCTGATGTTGCAACCAACATTCAACAAATATCAACGTCTAACAATGCTGCATGGCTGCAGGAGTTTAATCATGTTAGATTTTCTCCTTGTGTTTTCAGTGACTGTTACCTTACCTGTGCTGTCTGTGTCTGGTGTGTTTGACTCCTCACCTTGTTTCACTGAGTCATTATTTCCTGGGTTCCTCACTAGAATTTAAAATAAAGCTCTTTAAGTTCACTGATTTAATGCATCACATGAATTTGTACTGACTGATTCACTTACCTATACAGAGTATCATGTGGAGGAGGTCACAATAGTTAACACAACCATCTATACATGCAGCTGCAAAGAGCTGCTGTGGCTGCACAATTAAAAAACATATAAAATATCATATGGTACTTTCCCTTCTTACACTGTCGTTAGTTACTATGTGTAGAAATTAAGTTGGAACATCATCTTCTGTACAGAAAATGTAGAGTTTCAGAAATGTCAGCGTGTCAGTTCACATATGGAACTTATTAAAAATATAATAAAAATAGAATTACAGTTAAAAGCCTCGACCAACTAGTGGAGTTACAGTTCAATAGGAGGTGAATTCTTGAGTTTTTCTTGAGGGGGGGGTGAACAGACAACCTGAGGCATGAAAATCATTAACACGACTCTTTACATTTACCTGTGACCATCAGTTGGCTCTGTGGAGACTCTCCAGCTCCAGGGATGTTACACTTGTAGAGGCCGTCATCAGACCTGGAAACACTTTCAATAGTGATGTTTCCTGTAGAGCTGTTCCCAATGAGGAGGCCATCTTTATAGAAATTAGCCGTGAGGTCGGAGACGTTCTTCCTGGTTCTACAGCGCAGAGACACAGATTCTCCCTCCATCACAGGGACGACTGGACTCTCCAGGATCACAGAGCCACCTGAACAACATGACAACATGTTAACAGGCAGAATGAGGAGCTCACAGGAACATTACTGTGGTTTCAGAGCTGCAGTACAATCAACGTACCAGTGACTGTGATGTTGACTGTGTTGCTTCTCTCTCCTCCTGCAGCTTCACACCAGTATTCTCCACTGTCTGACACCAAGGTATAGTTATTGGTGCAGGTCACTGTGGACATCAAACATGAAGTCCTATTCTTGATGTTCCTGACTCTCCATCCGGCTGAGACATTCAACCCCTGACAGCTGAAAGAGACCGACTCGTACTCAAAGAGCTGCAGTCTGGACGGGACGATACGAACATCTGCACCCAAGGTAAAAAAAAAAAAAAAAACTCAGTTCCCAAACAAAATAGACAACAACAACACAATCAGATGATCTACTGCTATGAGAAAACCCTGCTGTCCATCTGCATTATCTTTTAATAATAGTAATATGAAAAGAAATACTTCAAAATTCAAGGCTGCAAAGCCAAGGTACAAAGAAAGACAGGTTGACCTTCAATAGTAAAATTCCTGTTATTCAGGTGTTCAGCAATAAAACTATGATCTGGATTTTGCAGGATTAGCTCGACCTGCCTGTAGGGTTTGGCGGTTTTAGGATTAGGTATTGGGGTTAAATCTCTTACCAGACGTCTGAAGATAACTTCGCTGCACATGTGCGACCAGTAGCATCGACGCAGTCAACACTGGAGAGGAAAGAGTTTATATTTAATCACTAAACATTTATTATCATTGTAGAGACGTCTTTTTTTCATTTTATAACCCACATGAATTTAATTGAATGCCTTCAATCTGACACAATTTGGTATATATTCTTGGTATATAAACATTTGCATGTTCAACTTTTTAAAAATGAATAAATTGTATGTTCACATAATTTTTCTTTTTATTGGCAAATTAAGACAAATGTACAACTCACACAGTCTGATGCAGAGAGCTCTGACCTCCATGTCACCTTCCTCCTGACTGAGCACTCGTCTGAGTTCAGGCTAAATATACTGAGCTTACAACTTCCTCTTCCTGTGCAGATCATCTCTGGTGTCGAAGTTTTCTCGAGTTTTACAAACACCTCTGTGAGGCAGATGTGCAGTAGAATAATAAGTCAAATTTATTCATACTGCGCTGTAGTTCTCTGAGCAGCATTTTGGCACCTAAGTATAAAATGTTATGGAAGGCGCAGATTGATCAAAATGGTGTCTTTACACTCATTTCCATTTCCTGATCAGACTTTGGTGTCTCCCAGTGGTAAAACCAACTCTGCTCCTAATCGCAATGAATGCAACACAAGCTGCAACAATCTTCTATCTCGTGTTCCTGCAAACAATGAATTATGTCATCAGATTAAGTTTGAAAGTTGTTATAATCACATTAAAACTCTGCACACAGCGGCTTTGAACACAAGATACAAACAGTAGGCTGTTGTTCCAAGGCACAGTATTCTGGTGGTGATGTAGTAATAATGATAACACATTTTATTTTCTAAAATCTATTCCATTGTCAGCTTTGTTACTTGATTTGTCCCTTTCCTTATGTCACTGTGAAAACCCTTGAACAACAGAAGAAGAAGATCTGTTGATGGTTTCTCTTGTGAAGTCTTCACCTTAGACCAACATTAAATCATCATCTGGAGTGGTAAAAAAAGAGTCTCTGCCCATTTATCTGAGACAGACAGTGTGAACATGAAGTCGTCCTACTCTGCCCCCTGCTGGAGACCAGCAGACCAGTCATCTAACTCTATTAAAGACAATACAGAAGCTGATGCTCCTGTTTCATTGCAGCTGTAGTATTTTATAATGGTGGTTATGAGCTGCCTGGCAACAGGATCAAAGTGCAGCCTTTTATTTCTGTGTCACACATTAACAAAGACACTGTCGTTAAGTTTGTAGTCAGTCAACAGACTTCAATCTAATAGGGTGAGCGATGGGACTGCAGTAGATAAAACTGATCACTGTACTTGTTTGATTGAAGGACTTTGAGCGTGTGCAGCTTGCTGAGTGAGAAATCACCCAAGAGGTAGGAAATACTTTTAATAAAAAAAAAAGAATTCCTGCTGTA